CCATGAACTTTAAAATGAAATCAAGTGAAAAAGGTATTGTTTATCTAAGCTGTCTGCAGAAGGACACTTGGGGAAAGAATTGAACTCTAAAATAACCTTATGAAGGTTATTGATTCGTTTCTTTATGGCTCCTTGACAAACAAGAACCATTATTTCCATGCCTGAACTGGAGCTAGGTCAAAGAACCCTGTTTTATGGATTATCTTTCCAGAAAACCAGACGTGTCAGAAAAAATGAACCCCTAGAAATGAAGATGTGAGGCCTACTTGAATACCAGGCTTCTTTCATTTCTTTGAAGGGCAAGTAGGGAACAGTTAATTTTCTTTAAATATCATGGAGTGCAAAAGGTTTGGGAATAAGTCAGGAAGTTTAGATAAATGGCTCACTATATGTATTTGGTAAGTGATTTTATTTAACTCATAACCACATTCTCTCCTAGCTTCCCACTCCACCCCGCCCCCAGCCATTTGAACTCCAGTTCAGTTCCAAAGCTCAGATTTTAGCGACCTATAATTGATAGGAGAACAGGGTTCTTTATTTTTAAATTTTACTTCTACCTTTTATTTTGTTAGCAAAGGAAAATACATATGTTAAAAGATATGTTGTCATTGGAAGCTGGAGCAATAGCACAGCGGGTAGGGCGTTTGCCTTGTACGCAGTTGACCCGAGTTCGATTCCCAGAATCCCATATGGTCCCCTGAGCACCACCAGGGGTAATTCCTGAGTGCAGAGCTAGGAGTAACCCCTGTGCATTGCCAGGTGTGACCCAGAAAGGGGAAAAAAATGATAAGTTGTCATTGAAAAGAATGGAAGCTATGAGTAAAGATTAAGAAAAACAAAAAATCACCCAGAACTCACTTCTGGGAATGTCAATCCTTTGCTTTCTGGTTTATGTAATCCCATACTATCTGTGCTCATACATAGTTTTTTTCTACAAAAAGGCAATGGTTACTAAATATTGTTCTGTAATTTGAAAGCACAGCTTTGGGGAGTTTTATTCTTTCTCATTTTTCGGCCTAAGAAGCCAGGGGAATTTAAAATGAGATGGATTAATCAATAATTAAAGTAGAGTTATAATATCATTCAGATGGAAGAAAATTTATATTGACAGTTGATTATACTCTTCTTATAAAATACTATAAATTATTTCACCCCAGAAATTTGAGTACAGATGAGGGATATAACCACCGTTCAATTTTAGAACTAGGCAAATATTCAAAAATGCTTAACCAAGTTATGTAAGTTTTAAAGGGTATTTGGGAGGTGGAGGTACTATATTATCTGAAGAACGTTTTATTCACATACTGTTAAAATACTGAATGCTATTTAAACAGATCATATTTTATTGCTTTTTAAATTTTTTATAATCTAATCTTTTAATCTATATTCTAATGAAAACATTTTAAGACTATTTCTTTTGTAGACTGTAAGATTTAAAGACAGGATTAGAAAGTGATAAAATAGCAATAGTAACATAGAAAAATCTGTAAAAGTTATTTTATAATGTTATTTCTTTGTACTTTATGGCTTTATCCAAAGTTTTAGCTATTGAGGAACTCTAGTATCCCGATCTTCATAAAGCAATTTTATGCGACCCATAGAAATTGATTCAGAAGGTTTTAGACCTGAAAAATATGACCATTTATCTGGGCCTTGGCAAATAGCTTGTTATATTTTAAATTAACCATAAATTATGTACTCTACATAGATATTAATATAAGTAAGATTATTTTGACAAGTTTAATGTCTATGTAAAAAATTATTCGAACATAGTTTTATACCAGTGAAGTTATAACAACTAGCATTTATGGGAACTTTGTGATGGTATCACTTAAATATTTTGTTGTCAAGACTTGTATCCTAACTGAGTATTTCAGTGTATAGATATTTTCTTGAGAAGAGAAGCAAGCATTTGGGATTTTTTATTAATGAGACTCAACTAACTTCTGGATATCATGCTAAGTGAAAGCTCTTTATAAAAAGGGAATAAAGCAAGATGTTATTCCTTGAAAAGTATCAGTCTGATGAAAGACAGATTTGCAAACAAATTCAGTAAGGCCGCATGGGCCCAGATCAGTTTAATTCTGAATTAACATAAAGGAAACATATGCTTCAAGGAATAATATTGAAAAATATTATTCCATGTGTTTTGGACATCCTGTTTAGGCTTCAGTAAGCCAAGTCCAGTGACTGAGAGCTGCTAAAAAAACACGATGGACTCAGAGTTTGGGGTCACTGAGAAAATTGTGGTATATTGAAGAACTTAATACCCAGTCTAAGAATATAGCATTGGGACAGAATAAAGAATAATGGCACCATATTAAACTGTAGGAAGTTCACGGGGTCATCCAGGTATCTGAGAGGTGGAAACTATGGGTTCGTGGTTGTGTTAATTCAGTAGAACAGAGGGGTTTTCAGTGCTATTAGTCTTAAAAATTCAATCTGTTGATTCGTTCCTCCCTTCTGCTATAGTGTTCTAAATCTTTTTGGTGCTGAGGTTCAAAGTATGTAATCATAATCATTTCACTCTGCTTTATCTGTGTTGGTAGAGTGGTAAGATAGAAGAGTTGTCGGGGGCTACTTTCTCTCTGAGAAAAGGAAATGTCTAGAAGATATTTGCTAAATGCCTGTGACATTGTAGAAAGATTTTATATTAAAAAACTATGTTTAGTGGGCACTAGTAAGTTCTTGGTGCTACTCAGATCTCTTTAAATACATCATCTCATATGAGTCTTTCAATCACCCTGAGTATTAAATACTTTACGATTCCTATTTTACCGAGGAGAGATCTGGGACACGAAGCCCTTAATTTACTATGGGACTCATTGTTTCACAATGCTAGCACCAGGATTCAAATTCAGGCCTCTGGGATTCAGATTCTTGCTTCCAGTTTTGTTCTCTGTAAAGTGGAAATAGTTAAAATTACAGTGCCTTATCCTGTGGGTTGTCCTGCATGTGGCACTTCCGTAGTACAGATTGACGCTGAACTCAAGGACTGTGGTAAAGGAGCTCCAAATGCGCCCACCTTCCTGCAGCCACAGAGACCCCCCTGTCAGCACCCCTCCACCCCCTACCCCCGCTCCCGAGGGCTCAGCCTATGATAAGCGATTAGTCAGTGGTAGCCACTGGACTTTATTAAGTTGCTGTTTGTTCAATCTGTGTGCTGAAACCGTTATTGTTTGCCTGCAATCATAGAGGGATATCTATTATGTCACACTTGAGAATGAAATTTGTTTTTTCCTCACCAATTTGTCATTGCTTTCTGGGTTAGAGTTGACCGAGTTGGCAGCACTATCGACAATTTCAGACGTTTGTGGTAGAACATAAGAGAAAGAAACTAAAAGATATTCCTGCTTCGGTTTTAGAACTCATTTGCTTTACTCAGGCGTGTGTGTGTGTGTGTGTGTGTGTGTGTGTGTGTGTGTGTGTGTGTGTGCTGTAGTTGTGAATTAGCTACTGGGAAATGTAATCTTGTCATATGTATAAATAATTTGTTTTGGGTTTAAATCACTTTCCCTAAGAGGTTATGAATATAACATTTCTCAGTCCAGGATAGCTTCCCGACTCCTGCCATTGGGACTCTAGTGCACATTTGTGTAAATCTGCCCAGTGTTGGCATGTTAAATGATCCTGCAGAGAAACCAACTAACAGGAGACATATGTGGATATTACATGTAAAGATAGACATCTATATCATATATATGGAAAGAAAGATTTATTTTAACAGATTTGATCAGGTGGTTTGAGGAACTGTGGCAAGTTCACATTAGAAGGAGAGAATGGTAAGCTGGAAGTTTGGATAGGAGTTAAAGTTGCACTGGAACTTTAACAAAAAGTATACAATATAAGACAAATATATGGGAATTTGGGATAGGAAATCTCTGAGGAAATGGATTTGACTAGTATACTATATCTTAATGACTTTAATTCAAAATCATCAGATGAGACTTTCAAAGGACAAAAACTGATCTCTGTGGGATTTCTTGCAATAGCTGGGTTCAAAGTTACTTCAAAAAGGGCACAATGGGGGCTGGAGCAATAGCACAGAGGGTAGGGCGTTTGCCTTGCATGCAGCCGACCTAGGTTTGATTCCCAGCATCCCATATGGTCCCCCGAGCACCGCCAGGAGTAATTCCTGAGTGCATAAACCAGGAGTAACTCCTGTGCATTGGCGGGTGTGACTCAAAAAGCAAAAAAAAGGGCACAATGGAAGTATGGATTCAGGATGATTGAAGGTGGAAATAGGACAAAAATTTCTGTTACCTTTCTGTAGTGAGTCAAGGTTCGCCGATTTGCTGTTTAGGACTGTAACTCTTCTTTCCAATTTGTTGAGAATGAACATGGTATCATTAATTTATATGAATTTAATACCCTTATGTTCAGGAACTAAAATAATTTATGAGATCCTTATGGATCATGCACAGACATATGCTTCATTTTGTCCCCCGGTTTGCTGAATGAGCAATGCTGTACATGTGAAAACCACGACTCGGTGTGTTCATCTCCCTTAAATATATCGATCCGCTCTCTGTTTCTGCTGAGCATTAGAGCCTGTAGTAACTAAGAGCTGAAAAGTGAAATTTAAGGTGCTGTGACTACGAAGCGGCAAATGCTACTTTTAGAGTGCTGATTAGTATGGGTCCGAATGTCATTTTCTTTTAAACAGAGTTCCATGACTCGTGTTCGTTAACAGCAAAGAAAACTTCAAGTCAGGGAGAGCCGGTTCTCCTGAGGTTTGGGACCGATCGATGGCTTTTACTCTGGGTATTGACAACTCTCTGCTGCTTGTCCTTGTCCGGACCTACGTGGGTTGACTGTGGGAAATGGATTATACTGTTTTTGCCTCTGGGGGTTTAGTCACTGCCCGGCAAGCAGAATGTTTGCTGTGACTTACCTTGGCCTTTTTATTGTTAAGGCTGGGGACCGCCTGGCACTGTGACTTTTGGGTGCTCACACCTGGGACTGGCCAGCTTTAAACTCGAGCTTATGCTTCTTTGCAGGATGCCACAGTTTGGAAGCCCGATTCGTGCCAGAACTGTCGTTGCCATGGCGATATCATTATCTGCAAACCTGCTGTTTGCAGAAACCCTCAGTGTGCCTTTGAGAAGGTAAGGTTTCCTAATTGTCTCCTAAATGTATTGGTAATCTCAATGAAGGGGAGGGTTTTCCATCTTTTCGATCATCTGGTCTGGCTTTTATCCCAAATGCTAACTGGAAGTTTTATAAAAGTTTTATGAATTCTTAGATATGAGAAATTGAATAAATTTAACTTCTCATATCTAAGAATATTTTAATTTCTGCATTTTGTGCTTTTACTCTGAACCAGATATCCAGTTAAATATTTACATGTGTTATCCCATTGAACATAACTGGTGTTTTATTTTTGTATATTTTTATTTTTGTATTGAATCTCCGTGAGATGCAGTTACAAAGCTTTAATAATTGAGTTTCAGTCATACAATGATCAGACACTCATACATCCACTGGTGTACATTTTTCACCACCAATGTCCTCAGTATCCCTCCTGACATTCCCACCCCATCCTACCCCCTGCCTTCGTGGCAGGCACCTTCCTTCTTTCTCTCTCTCTACTTTTGAGCATCATGGTTTGTGATACTATTACTGAGAGGACATCATGTTTGGTCCTTAGTCTACTTTTAGCACACATCTCCCATCCCAAGCGATTCCTCCAACCATCATTGACTTAGCGATCACTTCTCTAGCTGCCTTCTCCCCCAGCTCATGAGGGAGGGTTCCAAACCGTGGAACTATCCTCCTGGCCCTTGTCTCTACTGTTCTTGGGTGTTAGTCTCATATTTTGTTATTTTATATCCCACAAATGAGTGCAGTCATTCAATGTCTGTCCCTTTCTTTCTGACTCATCTCATGTAGCATGATACTCTCCATGTCCATCCACTTATAAGAAAATTTTATATCTTCATCTTTTGTAACAGCTGTATAGTGTTCCATTGTGTAGATGCACCAGAGTTTCTTTAACCAGTCATCTGTTCTCTGGCACTTGGGTTGTTTCCAGATTCTGGCTATTGTGGACATTACTGCAGTGAACATACAAGTATAGATGTCATTTCTACTGTGCGTTTTTGCATCCCTGGGATATATTCCCAGAAAGATGTCTGGTATTTTTATTCCCATATTGCAGAAGAAGAAAGTGAAGACTGGAGATTTCAGGCAACTTAACCTTGATTATGTGATTAACCACCTACTACCCAGTGATTTTCTATGGGTCTGACAGATGTCAAAGTTACTGATACTAACAATGCCACTGGAAGTCATTGATTGATTGAAAGTCAGGAAAAATTTTTTTTCAGATGTCACACAATCACAATCACAACCATCCTGTTATTCGTCGATTGCCTCGAGCAGGCCCCAGTAACGTCTCCTTTGTCCTAGCCCTGAGATTTTTTTAAAAAGTGCCATATTCAAGTATCTTTCAGACTTAGGAGAACGAGACCCTTCATTGTTACTGGTATTTGGCATACTGGGTATGCCACGGGGAGTTTGCCAGACTTTGTCATGTGGGCAGGTTATATTCGGTAGCCTGCCAGTTTGTCCAAAGTAGAAATGAGATGAGAAGGTGTCGTGCGGCCGCAGATGCGGCCGCGCGCTTCTGGGAGCTGAGTTTTATAGTCTCTGAGTCTTGGCTGTTGATGGGATTACACGGCGCCAGGGGGCCAGTTGGTGGGTGTGACCCCCCGCCTACTGGAATTTGGAGGATCTGGGTGGAGGATGCTCAGCCCCGATCCGAGTAGGCTTGGAGATCTCAGCCCCGGGAGCCGCGTGCCCTCGTTCCTCTGCTGGTACCTTCATGTGTGTGGAGAGTGGTCTCAGCATGGTGGTGGCTGGTTCTGGAGATCTTCGGCTGCCGGAGCCCTGGTCGGGGCGGGGAGGAAAACTCAACCTGCTCCCCTCCAAGGGGCCCCAGCGAGGTTTTCTAATGATTTTCTAAAAACACTATTATACCACTGACTGTATCATTGTGCACCATAGACCTGTTCAGATGATGAGGGATTTGACTCAGAAATCTTAAAGTTGACCAGGCATATGAAGGATATTGCCTCCTTTTCTGTTAATTTTTTAAAATTTAGTTAGATTCACATCTCTTGTATTAGAGTATCTTCTCCCAGGTGCTGACTCTTCTTTTTAGAATGAATCACTTAAAAAAAAAGCTTAACTTCAAATTTGAACATTTGAAACTCCTCAGAGAGACCAATTATTTTCTTTAAGAAGCGTTCTGTCAATTTCATGGCCACAGTTTATTTTTCTAGGGTTCCTCCTTCTCCACATATAATTAATCTTCAGCCTGTGTGTCATCTAATGCTAATAAGCTTTTCTTCCCTTTTTAACATAGGAGTAAAGGTTTTGTCTCCCTTTAAAAATGTTTTTCAGTTTCTGCATGGGTGCATTTCTGATGAGCTGAATCTGCAACATAGTTGCTAAATTTGGTATTATTTTATTGCATATCATCAAGTTTTTTTAATTGTATGGGATAAATACTTATAAACAATCTCCATTTAATTACTAAGTCATACCAGAGTCTGAACTGGCCTAAAGGTTCATGAAGACACCTTCAGTCTGTTGTGTATGTAATGAGTCTCTTGTAAGAACCCTAGGAGCGTTACTGAAAAGTACGTTTGATTACAGTGATCAGCAGAATAAATCTAACCAGTAAATGTTTTTGAATTAATTATGAGTAAAGAAGAATCTTTATATATGCATATCTCTATTTTATTACTTATTTTGGTTTTAGAGTCACCTCAGGCAATGCTCATGGGTTATTCCTGGTTCTGTGCTTAAGGCTCTCTGTCGCCTGGCAGTACTCAGAACACCACGAGATGCTAGAGATTGAACCTGTGTCTCCTGCATGTGAAAACTTGCATGAAAGCTTCATGATATACAACAATGATGTAAAATCAAATTTCCGTGTTCATCAGTGGACTGAAACCCAGGTCCCTTGTGTATTCATGTATTGTCTCTGACTGGTCTTCATCCCAATGACAGGGTTGTGTTGTTGTGAAATAGTCCATGGCAGTACCCCAGAGTCTAAAATATTTCCAGAAAAACCTCCTCTCCTTGTCTCCATCCCAATGGAGCTGCCTCCAGTGGTTCCCAATGTTTTGTTTTACCTCAGAGCAACTCCTCTGTATGTCCTCCTCTGAGGCACCTTTGTGCCTTCCTGGTTTACTCTCATCTCCCTTCTCACAAGACTTCAGCACCAAAACTGCTTGCTCTTCTCTGAACAGGCCAGGTACATTCTGCCATATTCACTGAAATAGTTTTCATGGTCTCTCTGTAACATTAATTAATAATATTATGGATTGATACTTCACTCTGTCTTGCTTGGATGACATTCTCTTTAAAATTGCAAACCTCTACCTCCTACCACAATTTCCTATTCCTCTTCTATGCTCTATTTTTCTTCTTGGCACTAGCTGTGGTATGAAATACTCTTTAATTTACTGATATGTCTTTTTTGTCACTGCCTTTTTTTAGCCACTATATATTCCCAGCACCTGATGCATTGTAGGTACTCAGTAGATATTTCTGAATGAGTGAATGAAAGATGAAGCTATGGAGTTGGGGAGTTCAGGGTCATGGAGAGCCTTCCTATACTACGTAGCTTGGAATTTTATTTATTTATTTATTTATTTATTTATTTATTTATTTGCTTTTTGGGTCACATCCGGCGTTGCACAGGGTTACTCCTGGCTCTGCACTCTGGAATCACTCTTGGCGGTGCTCAGGGGGCCATATGGGATGCTGGGAATCGAACCCGGGGCAGCCGCGTGCAAGGCAAATGCCCTATCCGCCGTGCTATCGCTCCAGCCCCCGGAATTTTATTTTTAAGATAAAACAATACTAATGAAAGTTTATGGGTAGGATGGCTATCTTTTCTTTTGCAAATAATCTTCCCATTTTTTAGAGATCAGATAGAATACTAGAAACAATCAGTTCAGAGATTGTGAAAATAATCTAAATCAGCATATCAACTCCTGAATCAGAGTATTAGTAGTATAGTGATCAAAGCAAAGGGGCAGGATCAATAAAAATGCATGCAAGTAAACCAGTAGAAGGGACAGGCAAAGGAGAGATGGCTTTTATATTTATGTCTTGTGACTGATTGATTCACTGAACCACCAACTGATTTGAAGAATCTAGGATAAGAAAGAAAAACATTCCAGCTGGGAAGAAAGTGATGATTTCAATTCGATGACACTGGGTTTGCAGTATCTATGATGGAGCCAAGTGGAATGTCAAGAAACCAGCTGTATGTATAAGTTGATAACTCTGAGGAAATGACAGCATTGAAGAGATAAAGTTATCATTAGCAGACAGACTAGTAAAACCCTTAAAATTAATTTGCTTGGGCCAGGAATATGGCCAAATGGTAGAGCTCTTCTTGAATGTGTGGAGGCCTTGAATGTGACCCCCAGAACTGTGAAAAAATAATAAACACATACAAAAAGATAGTGCAAAAAAAGAATTTTAGACCAAGGATGAAATTTGGGCATACACAGTCTAAATGAATTTAAGACAGGGACCATAAGAAAATTAAGAAGACACAGGCAGAGATTTTAGAGGTTAAAAAGAAAAAGCTAAAAAAAAAAAACTAGAAAAAAAGTTAAAAGAAGTTAAAGAAAGCAGCAATATTGTGGTGTCCAAGTATCAATAGTGTCGATCATTGGTGAAGGATTTAGAAGGATATGTATTTAATATGATCTATTGGCATTGGCCATATGGAGATGACTAGTGTCCAGGCTCAAGTTGGTGTCAGTATGGGGGTAGGGAGTGGATTCAATTGAGGGGTTGTAAGGACAGACATATCTCCCCCCACCCCCTGCCAACAAATGATGATTCCTGCTGAATTATATTTCTCTCCCCCACCCCCAAACAAGTGATGATTCCTGCTGAATTATGCCTTCTAGCTCTTTGGGTCTAAGTCCCTTATCACCCATTCTACCATATCTCTCCGCTGGAGAAAGTGCTAAGTTCTATGCTTGTAGGATAAAAATGAGTCAGGGAACCTGAAAGAAGTGTGTGCTCGTGGGTCTGTAGTTTTAAAGACTGCTAAGCAAATTCGTGATGGTGGCAAATGAATGGTTAGTCAACAGGCGACAACTTTTCAGCAGATCTTAGGGTATCGGATGGTATCCCATTCCCTTGATAACATCACATCTTGTTAGGAAACACAATCACAGTTCATAGAAGGCTTGAAAACCTCAGCAGCTTTTTACTGAAGACCAGGAATTCTAGCCAGCTCCCCACGGTACATGCGATACCTCTGCGGCAACACTATTTCCTCTCCCTGCTTTGTGCTTCTGTCTCCTGCCCTCTGTGCCTTCCAACCTTGCACCCCAGGTAACTGCATTTCCACACAGGAGCACACATCAGCTCCCCGCTGCAGGCTGCAGAGGCCTCCTGGAGCCAGGACACCGCCAGCTCTGTGGTGTCCAATAGAAGGAGCCCTGTTAGAGAAATGTCATCCCCTTCACCCCCTGACTGCATTTTTTCTGTGACTCTCAGAGGAAACACTCTGGTGAATGAAATTCCTCACTTCATTACATGTGTAAAGATGTGGACAATTTTCAAGGAAATTGCATTCCCAAGAGGGTTCATTTTATCTCGGCAGCTAGCTCCATTGGATAGGGAGGATCTTTTGGTGGTTTTGTTTGGTTTATCCTGTCCACTGTTATCACCCTGGAAAACTCCTGAGATTTAGTGAATCTGAAATGACTCTGGTGTAGGTGAATTGGATGAATCGCTGGGACCGTGTTTACCCAAGCTGTTTCTAAATGTTCAGGGAGAAGTTCTTCAAATACCTGCCAACCAGTGCTGCCCTGAATGTGTGTCCAGGACATCTGGATCTTGCCGTCATGAAGAGAAAGTCCATGCGGTAAGTATTTTCTGAGCCATGGTTGCTTCTCCATCTGGAAATCACTGACAAGGGAAAGCTGAATGCTAAACTTAGGTTGACGAACATCCATTTTTACTTCTTTAGGCTGGACAGGACATGATGCTCATTTGATTTTGAGGGGCATTTTGCTTTCCTGAAAAAAATTAAAACTATATTACTTATTTCATAAACTCCAAATAAATATTTGTCAATTGAATTTGTGTCTGTGGGAAGAGAATCGGGGGAATGTTGATGTTGAAGAAGTTTCATGCTGTTGAGGAAGGAAGGTCCATCTCGCATTTCTATCCTGCCTGTTCCTTTTCACTTGACAGTGAGGAACAATCTTGTGTTTGTGAGTAGAGCAGACGTTACCATTCCTGGGTTAAAGGTGAAAACATTGAGTTGTAAAGAGCTGAGGCACTTGCCCAAAGTTGTATTGCCAATACGTGACAAAACCTGGTCTAGAATGCTGGACTCCTTATTACTAATGCAGGGCACTTCCCGCGAGGGTAGAATTTTGAAAAGTCAGCACCATTGACATTTTAATGACTTTGTTTTAGAGGCCATCCTATGCATTGTAAGATGTTTATCATCTTCCCTGACTCTTACTAGGTACTGGTGGGGAGCTTGCGTGCACACACACACACACACACACACACACACACACACACACACGGAATCCTGAAAACTGAAATATCTGCAGATACAGCCCAAATTTTGGTTAAGGGTCAAATGTGTTCAACCAACCCATTTAGAACTGGAGGACTAAAAGTTAATTCCTAAAGTTCTTTCATCATACTTTCTCATTCCAGAGGCATGAGAGAATTTAGAGATATGCACTACTGATGGAAAGGAATCACTGCAAGAGACATTAGGGATTTTGTGGATTAAATACAGTTCATCTGTCCTCAGCCCTAACTGCTACCCCGAAGCAGCGGGTGAAATTGAATGTGAAGGCAAGAGGCTGTTGGCTTAAATCCTCTTCCTCCACCTGACACCAAGCTTTTCCTGAGTTCACATCTCTCCATTCAGGAGAGGGCATAGGCCAGCAGGATTTGATATACCCACTGTAGGCTGCTATTCAGTGTATGCCCCTGAAGTACAGTGTGCTTCCCCCAGGGACAGGATCATCTCCCTGGGACCTGGGTCTCCTGATGACACGACGAAGCCATTCTTTCACTTCTGCACAATGTGATGCTGAGCATCCCAGGCGAGCTGTGTGGGGGATGTGTTCATTTTACCTATTGCCATTTGGTCTGTGTTCGACCAGCTGGTGTAAACGTTGCGAGGATGAGGGGCTCCTAGAATGTGGAAAGTGCCCCTGAGCAGACTGGTGATGGAAATAATGCCAGTGACGATTGGAATATGTGTGTGGTTCAAGGTCAGAAATATCAAACTGAATCTTTTCAGAGAAATTGAAACCTCAGATCCAAAATAAGATCAGCGACATTTCAAAAATGAGAGTTTGTAAATATTTACGTAGATCCCTCCTGTGAAGTGCTTTTCTTATGTTGGTACATCTGCTCAAGTGGCTTATCTTGACTTAAGATGCCTGAGAATAATGACAGTATTTTCCTGTATCATTCTAGAGATTTCCTTCCCTCCCATATAAGTTGACACTCAGTACTACAGGAATTTTCCCAGAGTAGGTGAGGGACAAATATTGATCATTGAAGTATTCAGTGAGTAAAACCAACAAATCCCTGGTCCCATTCCCATGGTATTTTGGTAACTGGCCAAGTACCTGTGTTCTGGGTCCCAAATCTGCCAATGGGCTGGTAGAAATCTGCTTGACCTGACTTGTCTGTCTCTCTGAAATTCACTTCTTTGCTTATAAAGAATCATGCAGAAAGTTCTAAACTGGGTAAGAACATGTCTATGCTTTTTCTCTGCCCATATGCAACCTTCGCAATGTATTCTCTCAAAAAATGTTATAGTTATATTTTTGGTACTTGATGTATCTGAGAAAAAGACTGACTTTCAGGAACTCTAGATTGAAGGAAAAATATCTCAAGTGCTATACTTCAACGAGAGATAGAAGTTCAAGTTTCTAAAAGTGGAGGCGAAAGTTGAAGGGGATCCTTCAAGTGATAGAGCACATGCTTGGCACGCGTGGGCCCTGACCTTGACTAATGGTACCACCTGCCGCCCCCATCCCCAGCATTTCCAGGACTGTCCTTGGCTTCCTGCTGGCTGTGAGTGGCCAGAGAGATAGTATGTTGGTTTCTCTGTTCAGATAAGGTGCTTGATTTACATGTGGCTGACCCAGGTTCAGTTCTTGGAGCCGCATGTGTTCCCCTGAGCCCCTCCAGGAGTGATCCCTGAACACAGTACCAGAATTAGGCACTTGAGCAACACAAGATGTGCCCCATGAACCAATCTCCCTGCAAAAAATGTTAATAGAATTAAAATAGAATTATGTTTCTCCTTTCCCTCTTTCCCCTCCTTCCCCTCCTCCCCCTTCCCTCCTTTCCTCTCCCTTTTCTGTCTTGCTTCTACACTCCTCCCCAGTTTTTCTTTCTTCCACACTTCTCTCCCCCTCCCTCCCCCCTTCTCCTTGATGTTTATCCAGTCCTTGCTATCTTATGTTTTTGAGTTGCTCAAACCTTTACCTGGTTTTGGGGGTCTGTGTTTCACCTTGTCAGCTGCCTCACTAGATCTGTTTGGGAGATAGTTACACATAGGGGCTTTTCCTGTATCTGGGCTGGGCTGGAGGACTGTGGGGAACCACGTGTGGTCCCAGTGATGAACCTAGGGTCTGCCATGAGCAAGGCATGCCAGGAGAGTGCCTTCCCCTGTACTTTTCCTGGCAAAGTTTGTTTTTTCTTTTTGGGTCACACCCGGAGATGCACAGGGGTTACTCCTGGCTCATGCACTCAGGAATTACTCCTGGCGGTGTTCAGGGGACCAAATGGGATGCTGAGAATCAAACCCCGGTTTTCTGCATGCAAGGCAAACACCCTACCCGCTTTGCTATCGCTCCAGCCCCTGTTTTTCAATGTTGAGGACCATTTCCTGGAGCATTTTCTTCTCCCACTCAACAGACATCATCTTCTCTCTGTAGATCTAGCTTGCATCCCATAGGGCAGGTTAAGGAGACCCTTTTCTGGTAGCTATGAAGAAGTAGGATGATTTTTTAAGAAATTAGGAATAGGGATCTGAAGAAGCAGCTTTCCCCTAATAGAGAGACCGAGAAAAGGCTTTAGAATAAATCAGGGTTGCCAGGAAAGGAATCAGCTCAAGTGTCACTGTCCTTGTCCCCAGAGAACCCGCTTGAGCCAAGGGAAGTCAAGGGAGACTCTTGCTCAGGGTGGCAGGAGTAGGCTTTAAAGCAGCAGCTTCACTCCCCGGAGGAACTGACTCCTTTCCAGTGTAGACAGCACCGTTGCAGTGTAGACAGCTTCACATAGAGCTGGCACCCGCAAGTCAGGACAAGCCCTAGCATCTCCCCTGGAGTGAGGAAAGCACTTGAGCTTTCTGGCTGACTCCAGGTAATTTGAGAGCTTTGCATGGGCTTATTACAGCCAGCACTGGGGGGACTATTTCATCCATGACCTCCTCCAAGCTATCCCTCCAAATTAGCTGTTGGAGCTCTGCCCAGCCTTGCCAAGCAGTCCGGGAGACAAGCCTGAAATATGTTTTCCTAAAGAGTGTCATTGTTCTTTTCCCCACAAATTAGTTTGAGAAAGGGAGGTGAGAGGCCATTAATTCCCCACTATTTCCCCCTTTGTACTAATTTTACTCCAGCTCCTGATACTGTCAGGTCTGAGAAGGGAGTCCTAGTGGACTCATGAGAATAAGACGGCCTCATGCAACATGGTGCAAGCCAAGGGACACGGAAGGAGATGTCCAATTGCTTTTCTTGTCTGTGAGGCCGAGAGAACTAATTTATGGATGTGAAGGAAGAGATGAGTATTGAATCCTGTGGCCTTGTTCTTCTCCACATAGGGGATGTAATTATAATATAGGTCCAACCGTCTCAGATACTTAGTATTCTGGATCTATAACTTCATAACACAAACAAATTATGTGAAGGGAAAAAAAGGTAGTTATTTTTGTTCTGTCAGCAAGCCAGGCAAAAGCTTTATGACCTTTTCTCTCTTTTTGGCCTTCTGTCAACAGCCCAGTCGACCTGTTAGTTGGGTGGGCAGAAGAATATATTTCAGATGTTGTCTGCCGAATGTGCCTTTGCCCAGCACCAAACTCTCATCTTTTAAAAAAAGACATTAAATGAAGTTAAGATGGCACAGCTAAAACTAAGGTCTCATGGGAACATTGCCACTCTTCCTTGATTTGGCAAGTCTCTTTGCCTCCAGAGTGTTTATAAAAATGAGACTTTTGTAAGTGGGTATCTAGACTAGAAAAGTATGGGAAGCTTGTGTGTCTGCTTGTACCCGGCCACTTGACTCCTCGCTTCCCTCAGGTAAAGGTCATACCACTGCTTTAGAGATAGGAGCAGCAGGTGGAAATGGATGAGAATGGAAGGAGCTGACGGGACTTCCCCCCGGGCTGGAGTATTTCTTTCCCCTCACTGTTGGGTTCCATCGGCAACTTCCTCATGGCTTTCTCATCAGGCAGTGAATGCCCCCTGTTGAATGTCCTTTGCTATTTCCACATTTCCCAAAGTTACAATGAAGGGAACATTCCTGCTTCATTTTATGTCTCTTGGGTTAGGTAATAAATTCATGCCATTCGAGAACCTGAACAGTGTAGCAGATGCAGCCTTCCTGTATTACAATTTGGTGATTGACAGGTTGTTATTATCATTAATTTCTGTGGTGTGTGTCTGAAATATTTAAGAGGCAATAGTATTTTTTTCTGTAAGTAACGAAAGCCAACTCTTTAAGATATGATGTTGCTAGATGTTAGATCTCAACTCTTAAGTTCAGGTTTTTTCTTTCATATGTTGCCTTCAAATTTACATTATTTGATATAAATGTATAAATCATTATTCTGATTAATTTTTAAACAACAGTGTGTCCTCTGATGAAAAAAGTAAAAGTATGTTTATTGTGAAATTTTGGAAAAATCAAAAAACAAGTAAAAAAAAGTTCACTAATAATTACCAAATTTTGAAAATTCCAGTACTGGGTGGATAGCTAGCTCTGGATTTATATGATTATAATTGTACTACATACACAGTTTATGTCTTGCTTTTATACATAACATTATATTGTAGATAACTTCTTTTCACACTCTGGAAGAACATGTTTCTTTTTGTAAGATATTTGAGTAATTTCCAATTTTCACTAAAATATTTCCAGTTTCATTTTAAAGGCCAATGAAATATAGTAACTAATTTTATTTAAATTTTTTGTTAATCATTGATTTATCCTTCAGATAATTACTAAAATGTGATTAGTAGATCAAAGCATCTGAAGATTTTGAGTATTAACGTTCTAATTTCTATGTTTACTAAAATTTAACTTTAAGTTGTCTATCTCATAATAAATCTAGTGGGCAAATGATGAGTAGATCATTTTCTTTTTAAGTCTAATTGCTGAAAGCTTATCATAACAGTTTGAGTTATTCTAAATGCCAGACTGAAGAAAAACTGTGTAGGAGAATCCCTATTCATTTCACCGATATTAAGAATTTTAAACTTATATATTAGATAAGATTATCTAATTTTATTTAAATCATTATTTCTTTGTAATTAATGAAGTTGTATTTTATTAGCTTATTATTCTACTTTTGGTTGGGATTTCCTTTTCTTTCTTTCTTTTTTTTTTGAGTCACACCCAGCTATGCTCAGAGATTACTCCTAGCTCTGCTCTCAGGAGTCACTCCTGGTAGTGCTTGGGGGACCATATGGGATGCTGGGAATCAAACGTGGGTCAGCCACGTGCAACCAAACACCCTACCCGCTGTGCTATCACTCCAGCCCCGATTTCCTTTTCTTTTTACTTTTAAGTATCACTTGCAGTTTTAGAAAGCAGTTTGTCATGTGCCTTTTTGTTGTGTTTATATTCTTGCCTGACTTGGAATTGAACTCTGCTGGCCTATCCCTTTTTCTCTTGTAATTTATTCCTCAACATTTACATTTAGACCCTTACAGTGCCTAAATGTCAATTGCTCCTTATCTTTCATTAGCCAACATTTTATTAACAAGCTGTGAACTTGCCCATTTATATGCTGAACTCAGTTTGAAATTTTATATTTAATGACAGTAGAAGCACAGATTGTTAGCGGAGGCCTTGGCCTGCGTGTCCATTCCCAGCATACCGGATGTCTTGTTGGTGTGAAAAGAGGGAAGAAGATTGAACGAGAGCAATGGCAATCCTGGGGAGGACCTAGCATTTCCTGCTCACTTAATCCTTACAAAACCTCACTTATTCCTTACAATATCCTGGCTGAGGGGATGTTGTGATACTTTTCAGATCCTTACGATGGGAAACAGAAAGATTAAGTCACCCACCCATGGTTCCTAAGGCAGAGAGGGATGAACTGGGATCTTGGTTAAACACATTGTTGGTTCATCCACCTCCTTCTGTGTCTCCTTCTTTACCCCAGTTATATCCACCTAGACTTAAGGAAGGGCGACTTAACCCCAGTTAACTCCACCTAGAGGAAAGGAAGGGCCCTTAATGACAGTGCAGACTTATGCTCCAGTTCAGAGGGTGACTGTGACTCCCTGTTGCTATTATTATGATAACAGTAGTCTGTTGGTTAGCAATTCCAAAATGTCAGGCTGGGTTTGCTTGCAACTGGCAGTGATTTGAAGAATAAAAGGGTGAGGACATGCTTTTATAAGACAGAGATATTTGAAGTAAGTGAATAATTACTCTGGATACTGGCTTGAGGAGAAGGGAATAAATATTTTTTATGTTTCTTAGTGACTCAGCTGTAATCCCCAGATTATAGTTAGGCAATTTGAGCGCCTAATATTTTTCATTAGAAACCTACATTTAAAGAGGTAAGGAAAAGCAGGTTCTCATTTTTAAGAAAACATTACAAGATGAAAACTTAAAGAAAACCTTATTCATTAAGCTGATTTTACCCCCCCCCCCCCCCATTTATTAAAGGTCACCATTATTCCATTCTGCCATTGCAAAGAGTGTGTTTTGGCAGCTACTTCCTTAAACAATCTACATATTTGTACCTTTCTGCATTCAGGATTCATTCCCCAACCCCCATTCTGCATCACATCTGAGAAAGTGGCTCATTTGTCTATTATTGATGCTCAGAAAAATCATGCCATACTTCCCAGGACAGAGAAACATTCATTCAAAAGGATATATGTACACCATTATTCATTGCAGCACTCAGTACTATAGATACCCACCAGCATATCAGAGGATCATGAAGATGTGTGTGTGTATTTATAATTGTTCCATTGTGTGTGAGTGTGTGTATATATATATATTATATACATAAAATACTATGCAGCTATAAGGAATGATGAAACCAGACAATTTGCTGCAACGTGGATGGTATTGGAAGTTATCATGTTGAATGAAGTAAATTTGAGAAGAAGAATCAACACAGAATGATATCACTTATATGTGGTATTTAGAATAATTAGATAAAGAAATAAAATTCAGTGGTTTAAGGAGGGATGCCTAGATCACCCTTGACTCCAGAGTATATGGAGAAGAAGGAAAGAAATAGAGGGGAGGGGAATGGAAGAAGAAAGAGATGAGAAGCAACGAGGAAAGGGGTTAAAGGGATTCAGTGATATTAAGGAATGATCGTGCTGAATATTCAAAGCACAGAGTTAACAGCACTGAAATCATGAGACACAAAGTTTAATAACGACGCTTAAAAGGGCTTGTCAGGATGGCCTTCTGGGATTGGAGCTTGGGGTGATGGTAGGACAGGGAGCCTGTGAACACAGGTGGAGGGACATTGACACTAGTGGCAGGATTGGTGATGTAACATTCTATGTCCAAAACCCGATTATGAATAACTTTGTTAAAGTTCACAGTGCTTTAACAAAGTAAAATTTAGAAAGAAAATAAAAGAATAAAAGAAAGTAAATAAAAGAAAAATCATGCCATTGTGAAAACTGAAATCATAATATAGTGAGAGCTTTGTGAAAATACCATGTTAAATGAAGTAAGTCAGAAGAAGAATAAACATGGGGTGATATCACTTATAAATCGTGTTTAGAGTAATTGGATAAAAAAATGAAATACAATGGTTAAGGAGGGGGTGCCTAGATCACCCTTGATCCCAGAGGATACTGTCACTGTTCTTGTGTGGGTGGCAAACAGCCCGCCGAGGTGACCCGAGGATCCCCTTGGTGTTTTTGAAGTAATCACTGCCCCATCCTCCCTACTCCCTTCCATGGCCGGTTGATGGCAGTGGACAAACAAAGGAGGGAACAGGGGGGCCACCAGGCTGGTTGGTACTCAGCGACCATTTATTCCAGTCTCACAGTGTTAGTTATAGAGAAATCATGAAGGGTTGGGGGTTGCAATTACACATAGTTGTGGTTGAACATTATCATAAACAATGAACACATGTAAAGCCCTTCCATCAGGGGAAGTTATTCTAGGGATTAACTCAAGGACAAAATCTCAGTGCTCAGCAAAATCTTCTGCTAGCAGATCTACCGTAGGGCCAAATTCCATCTAAGGGTATAGATGGAATTGCCCATGGCCAAGGCAGGTTCGATCCCTGGTATTCTATATGGCACTCTGAGCACTAAGTGCAGACCTGAGTTTCACCAGGCATGGCCCCAAAATAAAAAAAAAATTTAAAAAAAAAAGAAAAAGTATGAAATTGGAGTGAAAGCTGCTGCAAACAAGACAATCTTGACGAATCCAGGAGCTTGAAATAGATGTTGTGTCTGATTTACTTTAGACTTTATGAAAGTTTTCAAATGACAGGAGAGGGATAATTTTTTTATTGTGATTTTTGTGCTTTTTTGGAAATTTTCGAATTGTAAAATTTTAAGGATGCCAGTGATGGAAATATGAGTCCCTTGAATAATTGGTCTCTGACCTGGAAAAGTCAAGTTCAGGTCTCAACCTTACAAATCTCGGTTCTTCTCTCTTCCCCTCTTTCTGGGTGTCATTCATAATTTATGTTAGAAAACGTTTGCTTCTCTCTGATCAAATGAAAACCCCATATTTTAGCAGTAACCCTTCTCTTCTCCTTCTCTCCAGCATGGAGCCCAGTGGGCTTCATCTCCGTGTAGCGTGTGTGCCTGCACTCACGGGGAAGTCCGATGTACCCCGCAACCTTGCCCGCCTCTGCGGTGTGGACCCGGGAAGCGGGAACTCATCCCCGAAGGCAGCTGCTGCCCAGTCTGCGTGGGTCCTGGGAGTGAGTATGACCTTGCACAGAGACCCTTTCTGCCTCTGAGGGTCCCCTGGGGACATACCTACCTAGCTCTTTCTTGGTTAATGTGTCTCAAAAATCCCTAATTCCGTTCCTTATTAGGACCAAGGGGTCCACGTTGCAGAGAGTGAGGCCGGAACCAATCTCTAACATGGGATTCTGTGAATCTGACGTCTGCATCTTGCCCTGGCCAGATGCATTCCTCTGCATTCATAGCTCCTGAAAGTGAGAGGGATGGGGAGGAAGATGCTTTGATAGGATTAAAGAAGCCCAGGGTAGCACCTCAGTGCCCCTTGGCCAAGGGAGGAACCAACAAATCACTTCCCCTAGCTTGGATTCCACTGCCCGGGCATTGAGTTGCTGTAACATGCTTCTCCTAGATACACAGGGCAGGAAGCAGGTATTTCATTAGCCTTTATTGCGTTTCCACTGTGGGGATTATTCCTATCTACTAACAAAAGATGCAGTTTAGCACACCAGGAGCAAACTTCCAAGCCCTCTCTTAGGAATACAGACTTGTCTCAGTACCTCTTTATTACATTAGGGATACATGTCCCCTTCTATTTTTATAAATAAGTAGTCTATGCTTTACAAAATCTAGGGCTTATTGTCACTGCTATATTACACTCTCTCTGGGCATATAATTGCTACAATTATTCTTTAGTCACACCTGGAAGCTATTCTCTCATTCTTGCTTTTTTCCCCTTTTTAAAAAAAATCCCTGCTTTCTTATCCCCAGCTGTTTCATTCCTGGCAATCCTTTGCCCTGGAGAACTATTCTGGGTTCTAAAAAAAAAGTGTGCTTAGAAAATGATGAAAAGAGAGTGTCCGCCTGCAGTTCAGATATGGCCCTCCAGGAAAGGGCCAACAGATGCCTTTGGCCAAATACTGGACTAAAAACCAGTTCGTGATAAATGGGGAGTGGTGTCTTCAAGTTTGGGAGACTCCTATGTTTTAGGGCACTTTTTTGATTGGCTCTCTAGGAGACCGACCTCTGGAAGCATTTTTCTTGGGGACATTACATTGTCTAGGGCCACCTGAAAGAGCAGGATCCTCTGTTCGAAAAGCAGGGACAAAAAATTTCTCCTCCCTTCAACTGTCTTTCTTAATGTGAAATGTTTTTAGTTTGCTATTTTATGTCACACCCGCTCAGGTGGGGACATCCCTCACATCCTCCCCGGTCCTACTCTGCTACTTAGTGCACAGGGCTTATGGCCCACCCCTTGCTGCACCCAGATCCCCACTATGGTTTGTTGGTGGCAGCTTTCTCTTTTGTTTGTTTGTTTTTCAAGTGAATCCCAGTGAGATGCACAGTTACAAAGTTGTCTGTGATAGGGTTCCAGGTGGTGGGAAATGTACCCCAGGGAAGGGGTGGGTGGTGGCAGCTTTTGTAGGTTGGGACAGGAAGCAGGTGGCACGGAGTAGGCTGCAGGAGGACCCAGAGGCAGTGGAGGTGGGACCACACACAAGGCGAGATTCAATCCCCGCATGCACTATGTCATCTTGCTGGTTGGCACGGACAAATCTCATCGAATCTCATCTGATGAGAGAGAGTTCCTAAGACTCCACAGAGTAATGCAGTGCCCAGATTCAAAGCGGGGGTCCCTTTCTCTGCACTGCTGCTCTGACCCAGAGACAGAGCCCTAAGGTGGGCCAGAGTGTGCCCCTATCACCCGTGTTTCTCTGATCTTGCAGAGCCGTGTTCCTCTGAGGAGCGGGTGTATCAGGATGGACAGGAGTGGTCGCTGAGCCCGTGTGCCAGATGCACCTGCAGAGATGGGACCGTCCAGTGCTTCACAGCCCAGTGCCAGCCTCTGTTTTGTAACCAGGTAAGGAAAACAATCACAGAACACAAGCTTTACATCTCTGCCGGAACCCCAGAGTCTTCTGAGATTATGAGGCAGGCCTTGGAAGCATGAGGAACAAGAAGAAAAGATTGTTTGGTCCACTTCTTATTTTTTTTCTCCTTTCAAGCCATGTCCAGGAGGCTCTGGGGCCAGACTGGAGATTCTCCATTTTCGGCCGGCTGAGCTAAGCTAGTGATTCAGTGTCAGGGCCTATCTGCAAGGTGCTGCGTGCTAGCTTCAGAGCCCCTCTGCGTCATGCTGTCTCCCGGCCCCCATCTTCCATATAGTTCTTTTTTTTTCTTTTTCTTTTATGGGAGGGATTGTGGTGGTGGTTTGGGGACACACCTGGTGATGATCAGGGCTTACCTCCTGACTCTATGCTCAGGGATCAAACTTGGGTCAGATGAAGTGAGCACCTCATCTGCTGTGCTCTTTCTCTGGTCCTTGTTTTCCATATAGTTTTAGAGACCACTCCGGAGACTAATTTTTTTTTCATTCTTAGAGAAACAACAAATAGGTCTCATTACCAGCCATTTAGGCTAATTATTATATAATGAAACTGCGCCTTAAGGGTGCAGCAAAAAAGTCACCCACTCTAGTTGCAGATGTTCCCAAAATGTCTGTTAAACATCTGGAAAATCCAGTAATGTGATCAGCTTTGCTACTGCTTTTTGATTCACAATTAAGATTTCTTTCTCCCTCTCTCTTTTTTTTAAAGGTGTATATCTGTTGTTGAATTGATTAGCCATATGTACACTATTGGGATTTTATAACATAATGATCAAAATTAACAAAGGATTCTCTAGAGAGGGTTAAAACAATGGAATATTGTTCAGAGTGTAAAATCACTGATCTGATTTTCAAAAAGATGAGGCAGGTGCAGCTGCTCGTCTAGCTCAGTCCATATAGAGCATGAAACGATGAGACCCTGATATACATTTAGAAGAGAAAATAAGCTACAAGTAGATGTAAGTTTCTTTACAAGTCTTGTAAGTTTTTCCCCTTCCAGAGACGCCTCTGGATCTTCCTTGGCAGTTGACAGATAACTGTAAGGGGAATCAGCCACCAGTGTGAAAATAGCTCATTTTTGATCTAAGAAACAGCTGAAAGCTACATTTGGTTGATACAGAGCAGTACTTTGTGTCAAATAAAATAAAATCAATAACAGCACTTTGCGACCACTGGGCAATCTTTTAAATGGCAGACAAAAGGCAATTAGACCAGAAATGCTAAATGCCAAATAAAGGGAAAAATGAATCTAATTGAAAGACTAGATTGGAGTACCTCATACTATGCCAACAACTGCTCCCTGCTCACCTCTCACTCCGTACTTTATCATAAAGTCATATCCTGACAGTATGATTACAAATTAACTCCTTGGTGGAGTGTGCAACGCCTTGAATTTGGAGAACGCAGTGGTGTGGGGGCAATCTGATCTACACATGCAGGACCCTTCAGAGCATGAAGGGAAGAGAAGCAGAATGGAAGAGACACTCTTTGTCATCCTTCTGCATTAAATTTTGAACAACTTAACCACATGAAGGGATATTGGGTATCTTGGAAGGCAGCTACGCTAGCCACTATACCACCAACGCGATATTGGGTATCTTGATGGTGAATGTGGTATGGTAACAGTGTTTTGAAATTAACAATACGTTTGATACTATGCCCTTAAAACATATTTAGTCGAGGAATAGCGATATATAAATAGTAAAGGGGTTGGGCTCAGATAAGACATGCACCTGACCTGGTTTGCTCCCTGGCACTATATGAACCCCTGTGCATTTTCAGGGGTGGTCTTCTTAGCACCTCTGGGGTAGCCTGGGCAACCCACAACCTCTCAGGGCCAAATCAACACCACCTATTCAGGAATTAGTGCTGAGCCCCATGCTCACTTGGCCAAAAACCTCTGGAGGTGGCTCCGGACCCCCTGAACGTTGCCTGGGAGCCCTCCCACCATCCTCCACAAAATGTCAAGTCATATACCAGATAAGGTTTCATTGGGAAGAGTCCTCCCCAAGCAGACCCAGGAGGTCCTGAAGACCCCTCCTGCGATTCTTCGCCACCTGTGCTGGAGGTTTTAGGCACAGACCCTGCAATGTTGGGGAGACTGAGGCATCTCCAGGGCTGCACCTGGTGATGCTGCATATTGGGGGACGGTGTGGTACCAGGAATCAAATCTGGGTTTGTTGTATGCTGAGTATACATCCTCATCACTGCACTGTCTCTGGGCTCCCCATATAGTCTTGTAAACATTGTTAGTTCATTAAAAAAAATACAACTGAATATTAAGAGGCTTGATAGAAATAAGTGGATACACTGTAATCATTTTAAGATCTATTAAGTATGAACTCTAGGTTGAAGTACTCAGAGTTTGCATTGTTATACATAATTAATTAAAAATGTTGAAATTAGGTCCATACATCAGGGCTACTTGATATGCAAGGATTCTAGACTCTTGGATATAGATTGATTTTTAATTAATCTTATGCCATTAAGTCTATATATTTTTATCATGGGATATTTATGGAAACAACTGTCAAATTATTTAGAGCCACTTCTCTTGATCTAACATCCCTGTTAAAATATTGGATGTGGGGCCATAGAGATAGAACAGTGTCTTGTCTTGCTTGCAGCCAACTCAAGATGGATCCCTGATAGCTCATTGGTTCCCTGACCATCACCAGGAATGATTCCTGAGTAGATAGCCAGCACTCAATAACTCCTGAGCATTGATAGGTGTACTGCCCACCGCCCCCCCCCACTCCAATATTATTTGTATCATGGCCTTTGGGGATTTCAAACAGTGCTAATAGTCCTAAGCCTTAAGGTGTGCCAGTGCTCAGGTGAGCGGGGGAGAGGACTCCACCTCCCTGTGCTGGGGTCCAGGAAGAGTGTGCAGTGCCAGGAGGCTTCTAGCATGAAACAGGCAACCAGCTCCTCGAAATCTCTCCCCAATCCTTAGAATTCATCCTTGGAATCGCACAGATATATCTGAACAGGACGTGTGGCTTGGGTAGAATTTTCTTTTTACAATCTTTTGCAGCTTTTTGCTAGACAAATGCGGATCTATTTGTTTGTGCAGTTCTAATCACATCTTCGTAGTTGGAACTAATCCTGGACACAAGGAAAGTTTCTTCTATTCAAGTCAGGGACAGTTTCCCCAGTGAGGGATGGAAATGCTGAAATTACTTGCTTTCAACTTGTGAACAGTCCTAACCCCTTGTGCCAATGGCCTGTCCAGTCTCTGAAGAATTATCCCTGGTGCCTTTTGTTATAATATTTTTGGGATTTTCCCTTTAATTAATATTATGAATGAGATAATCACAAGAAGTCATAGCAAAAGTCACCAGGGATAATTCTTTAGAGACTGATGAAATTTCATCATTTTTAAAAAAAATAGAAGGTGGTGTGTCCCCTTTGCTAGTAAGCATTTGAAGATTCTTTTCTTGCTGTATATATTTATCAGAAGTTATTTGGGGCACGGGTAGGTAGTTCAAGGGGTAGAGCATGTGGCTGGCCTGGACAAGGCCCTGAGTTTGCTCCCGAGCACTGAGTGCACCAGTGACTCTAGAGACCCTCGAGCATTGCTGACTCCGACACAGGGCCACAAGGCACATATCACCTGGCACCACTGAGGGTGATCTTGGCCTGACAGCCTCACCCTACACACTGCTGGGTGTGATCCTTATTAGGTAAAAGGTAATTTAGAATGCCCACAATCTGGAGGGCTTTAATATCCTCCTGCCCCAACCCTGTGGACTCATTTTCATTCAATTCTCACCTTGGATCACAGAGAGAAATCTGTGGTCCCTGTGCTTTCTAGCCCAATCTATTCAGCTAATTTTACTCTGCTGGATTCTTGTAAGATGTTTTTAATTTTTATAATTCCATAATTCCATTTGCCCCCTCTGATAATTTAAGGTGAGCTAATTTTTCATATATTTTGCCTAGAATATACAAAAGCTTTTTTGGTCTGTATTCCAGCCTTAGAAATATTTTACTTCATTATACCTGGCTTCAGTTATCTTTTTTTTGCCCCCAGAAATCCTTTGTCACTCTATTCCATTTTCTCACATTAGTAATTATAGTCCTCCATCATCATTTTCCACTTTTTGTGTTTCCTCTGCATTGTGGATAGATCCCAAAGTTTGTATCCACTATCTTCAGTTTTGATTTTAATTTGGTGATTTCACTTACATTTTCTTTTGTTTTCCTTCTCATATCAGCAGTTCATCTATTTTATAAAAATATCAGTTAATTCTTTAATTTGCCCTGCTTCTGTTTAATAAGGGCTGAATTTTCTTGCATCTTGCTGAAGTTACAAGACAGCTTTCAGACACATTTTCTTTTCTATCCTTTGATTATATACAGCTCAAATACCTGCTTTTTTCACTAAATCTTCAGTATGTTGTTCTCTTTACTTGTTCCTTAGGATCCTCCCCCCCCCCAAGTTTCTTTCTTTCCCTGCACTCATCCTTGATCAAGAGAAATCAGTTTACACGCACTGCCCACTACTTAAGAATTTCCAGGGGGGAGTGAACTTCCTTTTGCTTATTTCCCTTCCTGGATCCATGGCCAGATGGTAAGAAATGTGCATGGACCTGGTTTAAGGCAACCTCTTACTTAGTGTAGCTCTGGCATCAAGCGTACACTGAGCTCAGTTCTTTTCCCGTTTCCACTCCCCAACCCTCTTATATCTGGAATCCAGGAACAGCAGACTATAGTCCACTCTGCACTGCTGCAAGTGCTCATTGCACATACGTTGGAAGGATGACAGCAGTGGTGTTGTTGATTTGCAAACGTTCCAGACCTTTCTTGGGTGAGATGTGAAATTAGTCCTTATCTCCAGGGGGCAGGGAGATACCAAAGAAATTAGGGACCCATTCCAGAGTTTTATTGTTCAGTCTAAATAAGGAAGCTTCGATACAGTCTGTCTTGGTTGATTATTTTGGGAGGGATGTTTGACCACACCCAGCTGTGATCAGGGATCACTCCTGACTCTCTCCTTAGGGATTTCTCCTGTGTTGCTGTGGGGACCATATGTGGTGCTAGGGATTGAACCAAGGCCAGCTGTGAGCAAGGCAAGAACCTTAACCCTTGTTCTGTATCTCCAGCCCTGTCTTGGGTGCTTATAGGATAAGTTAGCTATCTGTATCTGCAATCAAATTTTAACATTTTGTATTTCAGTCACATGTACCCTCCAGATGGTCTCAAAACCACATTTTAATTTCAAGGCTGTCTCCGGGCCAGCTTCCTGAAGGAGGAAGACAAGTGAATGCACATTCTGAGGAAGGGGGAAACTAAGGAGCCTCTGATGACTTGGGTTAGCTCGAGGATCAAGCAGTGGCCACATCCTCTCAATGGCCTCCATCAACAGTTGTGTTTGATATAGGAAGGGAGGAAGTCAGGAAGGCATGAGATTCTTCAGCTTTGGAGGGCTGTTGGGCTTCCTTTGTTGCAGCAAAGAAAAACTACATACTACCTTAGGGTTTAGGACTTCCTTTTGGCTCTGGTTGGAGGTTGCGATTCTACTCTTTGGTGGTAGAATTCTCAACTCTTCTATTCAAAAGTATCACAATGGGAAGAAAATTTTTCAAGGATTAGCCATAGTACACTATAAACTTCTTTATCATAAGCATTTCACTTAATAAATATGGAATAATATAAATAATAAATATGGAATCCATAACAAAAATATATCCTTAAAGTGATCAGAATGATGATATCATATCTGAAATTATATGGAATTCCAGATATACATTTTTGTATTGAACTCTCAAGGGTACTATATTAAGCTCAAAATTGTCAATCTTTTCCTGTAAAGAGACAGACAGTGAATATTTTCAGCCCTGGGTGCCTTCCTGTTGGAACACTTAACTCTGCCCTTGTTGCACAAAATAGCATTGATAATATGTAAATAGATGGATATGACTGTGTTCCAATAAAGCTTTATAAAAAGTGCCGGGATGGATTTTGTCCATGATCCAAAGTTGGCCAGGTTCTGTATAGACTACAGGTTTGATTGGGCAAATTTATGTCGGCTAGAATGGAAGGATGAGATGGTACGGTTCCTGTGTATGAAAGCTGCAAAACGCACTGCCCCAAAGCCTTTCCCGTTTCTCAGGCCCACCTTGCTGCTCTCCTTCCTTGCTTCTCCAGTTTTCCTTCTGAAACAGCAGAATCAATGCAGTCTCTACTCTCAATCATGTTTTTCTCTCATATTTTAGATATTTTTGCATTTAAACACTTTTTCTTTCTGCCTTTATTGTTTTTGTTTTTTTCAGTTGTCTGTTAAGATTCTCTGTCAATAAAATGCATAATTAGTTATTGCCAATGAGATTTGACAACTTGGGTTTTTTTTGTATTTTGATTTTGATTTTGTTTTTGTTTTTGTATCAACCAATACAAGAGTCTACTTCTGCATACTCTAAAATGGACTGAACTCTTGCACTTGCTCTAGTCTGTTTTGGTTAATACTGACACGCTATTTCTATTTAAGATTTATGATCACGGGGCCGGAGTCATAGTACAGTGGATGGGGTGTTTTCCTTGCACGTGGCCTTTCCAGATTCAATCCCCAGCATCCCATAGGATTCCCTGCGCACTGCCAAAGTAATTCCTGAGTGCAGACTCAGGACTAACCCCTGAGCATCATCAGGTGACCCAAAAAGTGCCCCCCCCACCACCAAAAAAAAGATCATGACAATCTGTTCCCTGTTTACCTAACATTGTATAAGGCTTAGTTGATTTGCTTACAGCAATAGAGTTACTGAATAATACAACATTGGACATGCTTTTATTCTCCTTCTTAACTGAAATTTTATTAAGCTGACGAGTTCTGAGGTCAAGAAATGTTCAGAGATCTCAATGCATATCTAGTTCTCACATGCTCTATTAAACTTAAACAGTTTAAATTTTAATTTTGTATATAGGATAATGAAAAAAATAAAATTACCTCAAATAGAGAAAACAGTTGTCTATTTAATTCTAGTTGTTTAGGTGTATGAAATAAATCCCTATTAGATAGTAATGCATTAGTCCAACTGATCGTATGTAAGTGGGTCAAAAACTACTGAGGTATGACTGGAACTTTTCCTTAAAAATGAAAGTTTCTTCACCACATTTCCTGCTAAGTACACTGGCCTTTTTATTGCAGGATGAATACGAGATCAACCATGATAATCTCACTTTGTGCCTCTCATAAGAAAAAATGAAGATAATTGCTCAGGAGGCATTTTCTGTATAAGATCTAGTAATTCTTTAGTTATTGTTTGTTTCAATCCATTCCACTACCTTTAATTTGTTTCCTTTCCTGCTGGCTGAGAAGCTGTGACAATGAGTCAGAGTGAAAAGTTGACCCTTTGGCATTAACAATGCGATGCAGCTGAGAAAATTCTTAGGAATAAGAGACAAATGATATGATATTCTGGGAATGAGTGTGGAGCTGACAGAAGCAAGCACATAGGGGTAAGGCCTTGGGGGTCGGTCCTTTGGGCATTTAATCTGTGTCGCCCTTGTTTGTCTGCACTTATTCTCAGATATCTAGGGTCATAATGGATTTTTTTTCTTTTGCTTTTTGGGTCACACCCGGCAATGCACAGGGGTTACTTCTGGCTCTGCGCTCAGGAATTACCCCTGGCGGTGCTCAGGGGACCAGATGGGATGCTGGGAATCAAACCCGGGTTGGCCGTGTGCAAGGCAAATGCCCTACCCACTGTGCTATCGCTCCAGCCCCTTTAATGGATATTTTTCACATTGGACATGTTTAGACATTCCTATGGATTCACATAAAGCTGCAAAATAATAATGAAGTTGCTTACCAAGGGGGCAGTGTTCACTTTGATTTTGGGAGAAATGCAGATATTCTTTTTGTTCATTTGTTTCATTTGGGGGCCACACCCAGCAGTGTTTAGGGAGTATTCAGTGTGCCCAGGAGTGAGCTCTCACAGTGCTTGTGATACCATCTAAGGTACCTGGGATTGAACTAGGATCAACTGCATGCAAAAGAAGTGCCTTAGCCCTGAAACTCTCGTTTCTTCACCCCTGACCAGTAAATATTTAATTATTTTTCTCTGTGTGTGTGTGTGTGTGTGTGAAGAGGTTGGGCTACACCTCAACCTACTCAGGGCTTATTCCTGGCTCTATGCCCAGGTATCACTCCAGGCAGTGCTCTGGGGACCATATGGGGTGCCAGGGTCAAACCTGCGTCAACCACATGAAAGGCAAGTTTCTTACCCCTGTACCATCTTTCTGACCCAAAGTGTGTACATATTCTTAAATATTTTTATAGTTGGTTCTGCAAGGCCGTGTATCCAGCCACTTCCATTTCAAAATCAGCTATGTGTCCTTGGGCATGTCACACAACCTCTCTGAGCTTTCCTTCCCTTGGGGGTAAATTACCTACTTCAGAACTCTTGTAAGCACTTAAAATAGTACCCAGCAGACATTAATACTGTTATTATCGCCATTTGAACTTTGTTCATTCTTAAAAACTTACTCTTAATAGTCTGAAAATAAGTCAGTGCAGGAATTGGAGAATAGTACAGGGTTGAAGTGACCTCAAAACCAAAAATTAAAATAAAATAAAAATGTAAAAGCCAGAGTAAGAGCAGCAGATTAAATATCCAAGGAAGAGGACAGTTGTGTGCTTTTAATCATCACATTGACCTTAAATGCGCGAGTGCCAAAGCTCTAGGTCACTGGGAGTCAATGCTAGAAAATTGCTGTTTATACATGCTTGACACACATGATCAAATTGGCTGTGAATGGCATTTTCCTCCCGTTGCACACTGTATTAATGTCTCGCCTTATGTATCTTTCCTCCTTGGGGCATCCAGGATGAAACCGTAGTCCGAGTCCCCGGACAGTGCTGCCCCCGGTGCTCCGCGCGGACCTGCACTGCAGCCGGCCGAGTCCACGAGGTAACCTTGGACACACCCCAGGGCCTGTGCAGACATCTGACCTCACTCGGCGACTCTGCACTGTGCCAGCCACTGTGGCTCCCCACCCCCACCGCCGACTCTTTCCTGGGATTAGTAATTCAGTACCTAAATAGCTTGTTTCTTCTCTTTGTGAAAAGCCTTTATGGAAAAAAAAATAAACCGAAGGGGATTAGCCACATAGAAGAATGTGCTGGCGATCACCCCTGGTTCACCAACCTCACGAGTTACAGGGAAGAAGTCTCCCGTGGGGGATGGCAGTTGGTTGTGCTTGCATTGCCACTGACGTCAGAGGCACAGTCTCCCAATGCTTGGGGGCCTGATGTGGAGAAGGAATGTGATAAGAAAAAATATCATGGGGCCAGAGCGATAGCACAGTGGGTAGGGTGTTTGCTTTTCACCTGGCTGACCTGGGTTCGATTCCTAGCATCCCATATGGTCCCCTCAAGCGCTGCCAGAAGTGATTCCTGAGTGCAGAGCCAGGAGTAACTCCTGAGCATCACTGGGTGTGACCCAAACAGAAATAAAAGGGGGAGAGAGAGAGAGAGAGAGAGAGAGAGAGAGAGAGAGAGAGAGAGAGAGAGAGAGAGAGAAGAAAAAAGAGAAAAGAAAAGACTTTGTATTGGAACTTGCACACGAGAAGTGCTGTTGCTACTGTCAAGTTGGGTTTCCAACGGTGGTCCGGACCCAGAGCTTGAGAACCTGGGGTCTTCGAGCCTAGTTTCTGAAACTGTGGGCATTAGACCCCGTGGGGCCATGTTATTGAACGTGGGGGTTGTGAGCAGTTTATATTAGGTTGAACTTGAAGTTTATTATCAGTAAATGTTTGGGTTTTTTTTTTTTTATCTGCGTTACATACCCGCTGCTTTAACATTTCTCTAGCAAGAAGGGGTCATGAGCAGAGAAAGTTCAAGAGGCCCTGTCCTGGATAACTTCCTGACGCAGCGGGTGCCCAATAAAAATGGGTTCGGCCAACTGAATGGATGTGTGCTCTGTTTAGGGGAGTCCAACTGAGCCGAAACAAGGTTACATTATTCAAAAGCAAAGAACATATGGAAAAATAAATAAGCCCAGTGGCTTGCTTCCTTGCTTCCCAGACACTCTCAGGAAATCTGAATTGGAATTGGGGTTATGACTCTCTGGTGAGAATCTGGGACTGAGTATTATTAGGGGGATGGGTGCCACAAATTCTAGATAGATCACTTGATAGTTCAATGGAAATTATTAAGGACAGACTCTTTTTATAGCAAGTCCTTAAATAACCTCATTTTCTGCAACATCATTTTATGATAATGTTGCAGAAAAAAAAAGAAGTCCCAATTAAGGCCAACTAAATGATGTTATTTGATTATAGGCTTCCCTTCCATGACATTTCATGTCAAGTGTTTATTTGCAAAAGTGTCCCAGTGATAAGTGAGGACTGAGTAAGACCTTTGCTGTCCGGTGTAACAGCCACAGACGTGTTAGATTCATTTTCCCTGGAAGAGAGAGCCTCTGTATCTGCGGGGATTTTTGGCAGCTTCTAAAAGAGACTAAAATAAAAATATTTGGGTTATTTCATGAGTGAACCCCTACTAATAACAATTGGTAAAACACATTGCCCCAAATTAAATTAAATTTTAAAAAGTTGTTCATAATAACCTCTTCGGAGTTTTTGTGTATGTGTATACACATACATACATAAATGTGTGTATACATATATATGTATGTATGTGTGTGTGTATGTATACACACAGATAGGTTTATAGAATCTCCTATAACAAGGTCCACAGGAGGACAACTTGCAGGGTTTCAAGACAGGTCTCACAATATCGTCAAGGATCTAAACTCTTTGGCTCTCTCTCCTCTCGGCATTCAGGTGTTTGCCTTCAGTCCTGTCCCCTGCCTGTCCCCCCAGAGCTCTTGCTTAGCTCACACCCACACAATCATGAAGAAAGGCTTCTGGAGGAAAAGGCGAGCATTCAACCTTTCGTGGGGAAAAAGAGATTTTTTCCTCAACTTCTCTCACTGGAGCAGACTTCCCCCAGGGGGACTGAAATTGGCCCGTGTCCCTGCCCCATCTGCTTGGGGAAACTGGGCACGGGAGTATGTGACAAGAAGCTCTAAGTCTCCTGAGGAAAAAGCACTAAAGAATGACTGTTAATTAAGCAACACCTGGGCCCTTCCTGTTCACCTCCGTGTTTCGGGGCTCCCCAGCCTGGAGCAGGCTCTCAGCACATCTATGGAATAAGTGTAGAAAATGAAAATGAATCCAAATTTCCCTTAGAACATGTTATGGGTTTTTTTCTTGTAGTCTGTTCATACCTAAAAGATGCCATTTTCAAGAATATGTTCTGCTCATCCCCGTTGCTGGAGCGATAGCACAGCAGTAGGGCGTTTGCCTTGCACGCAGCCAACATGGCTGACCTGAGTTCGATTCCTCCACCCCTCTCGGAGAGCCCAGCAAGCTACCGAGAGTATCTCGCCCTGGCAAGCTGCCTGTGACGTATTCGATATGCCAGACACAGTAACAACAAAGTCTCCAATGGAGATGTTACTGGGCCCGCTCGAGCAAATCCATGATCAATGGGAGGGCCTTTACCTTTACCTTTACCATCCCCGTTGCAAATGATCATGAAAAATTGTGTCTTCTCTGCAGCTGTATTTCTGTTTGCTAGCTGTAACAGCTGAGTTTCCATCTTCTTTTCCCTTTCTTGGCTCAGCATGGTGAGCAGTGGAGTGAAAACGCCTGTACCACGTGCATCTGTGACCAGGGAGAGATCAAGTGCCATAAGCAGGCCTGCCCCCCGCTGCGATGTGAGAAGGTACGGTGGGTCACTGAAGGAATCAGGTCCTTTCCTCCTGATGGGAGGAGACTGAGACCACAGCCTGCGCACTTATGTGGGTTTCTTTTTTCTGTTTCTTCCTGCGTCTCTAAGCTGTGCTCCATCCTTTCGTTGCTCTATGTCACTGTCCCCTCATACCTGGGGGAGTGGGGGGTGTATCTAGCTCTGAGGTGAGTAGCACATGCAGAGTCAATGGCACCTGGGGCAGGTCCTGGCTGCTGCGGCAGGTAGGCCACCCAAGACCCTGAACTGGAAAAAAAGTGGGCTAAAAATGGGTGCAGGAATGAATGAATGTGATTCTTGAATAGTTGAAGTATTTTGGAATTTTTTTTTTAGGGACAATGTCCTGGGTTACACCTAGCGGTGTTCAAGGCTCACTCTTCACTCTTTGTTCCTGGATACCCCTGGTAGTGTTTTAGGGGTGCTGGGGATTGGATTCTGGTTACTAGAAATTCAAAACAAGCACCTTTACCTGCTGCTTTGCTGTACTATCTCTCCTCTTTCCTGTTTTGAGTCTTTGGAAGGGTAGTGACTTTTTGTGACCCAAAATGTACTGTGGGAACTTAACCCTTTTTTCATATCAAGTAACCTGGTTTAAATTGAGAGAGAGAAACAGAGAAAGAGAGAGAGAGAGTAAGAGAGGTAGAGAGAGACAGAGAGAGACAGAGACAGAGAAAGAGACAGAGAGAGACACAGAGAGAGACAGAGAAAAACAGAGAGAGACAGAGAGAGGGGCTTTCCATAGATGTAAGGGAGGCAGGTGGGAGGTAACCTGGGGACATGGGACATTGGTGATGGAAATATGCACTGGTGAAGGAATGGGTGATGGAATATTACATGACTGAAACCTAATCATGAATAACTTTGTAACTGTATCTCACTGTGATTCAGTTAAAAACAGCAATAACAAAAAAACAAAACAAATACAACAGAAAATAAATCCAACCCCCACCCCATCCGCTTTGCTTTCCAGTTGTGGGTTCCAAGAACCTGTTAACATCAAAGACTTGGTGCTTGAGAGTGTTTTTTGATTTTTAAAGTTTGATTCTGGGTCATTCATTTAACAAATTTCTTTTTGTTATTGTTTTTGGGGCACACCTGGTAGTGCTCAGGGCTTACTCCTGGCTCTACTCGGGAATCACTCCTGGTGATTTGGCTTGGGGGAACCGTGTGGGGTGCCAGGGAACCTGATTCTGGGTCTTAAAAAGTGGTTCTCCATGCACGTCGTTTGAGGGAATGGAAAGGTTTCTGGTGCTCAGAACATGAGACAGAGATGTGGTAGATCTGACTCTGGGGCAGAAGGAGAAGGTGGAGGGGAATTTACCCCAGCCAGGTGAGGTGGGAGGTCGGGGAGCAGCATGGAAGTGTTGGGGTTGTATTTTCTTGGCACCTTGTTTTCTCTCTGTTTCCTCAGGGCCAGAAAAAGGCTCGCCGCCCCGGGGAGTGCTGTGAAGAGTGTGTCTCTCCGGCCAGAAGCTGCTCCTCCGATGGGGTTGTGCGGTACCAGGGGGACATGTGGAAGAGCTCGGCCTGTGAGTTCTGCATGTGTGACCGGGGCCAGGTGACCTGCCACCCTGGCGAGTGTGCCACAGTGCGGTGTGGCCAGGTAAGGAGCCAGGGCAGCCCCGGGGGTCTCAGAGCCGTCTTCCTGGGGGGTGACCCTTCTTGCTCCCTGGCAGAGGGAACTTGCCGGCTTGGCTGCTTCCTCATCAGGGGCCTGGTAGCACCGAGGTTCTGTGCCGCAGAGTCAGTGTCCCTGTGTATTGGCTCTGGCTTGGGACGGCTTCCCGGAGCTTCTGACTTTGGGTGCGTCTGGTCAGATGGGAAGCCCCGAGCCAGCCGTAGAAGTGGAGGCCGAGGTGTGGACCATTAGCCTGTCGATCTGTACAGCTGCTCGCGGGCTGGTAGCCTGCCCAGCTCACTGGGATGGTGACATAGAGGACCTTCTATGACAGAAGCCTGGAGGTAGCCAGCATCCGGGGCGGCTCTTAGAGACCAGGAAAAAAAAAAGTTAATAAATGTGTTTTTATCAGGACTTGAGAGATAGTACAGCAGGTACTTGCTTTGCCAACTGCCAATCCAGGTTCAATTCCAAGCACTCCCAATCTGGCCCCCTGATTCCCACTAGGAGTGACCCCTGAGTGCTGAGCCAGGAATAAGTCTGACCACCACTGGGTGTGACCCTCTTCCCCAATTTTTTAAAAATTATTTTTGTTTTAAATATAGAGCGAGGGAACCATTGCCAATCGTCAACTCTGTTGACTTCTGTTGACGTTATTGCTGTCTGCTGAAATCTAGAAAAAGTTCTAGAAGCTTCTAACAAGGCAGTCTCTGTTTGGAATGAAGATGCATAATGCAGGGAAATTGCTTTTTCCCCCACTTTGAACTCGGTTTGAGCCAGTGCAAAACAAGTTCCTTTCAGACTGTCTCCTTCTGCCTCGCCGCTCCCATCCGCCCCGCCAGTTTCCCGCGGGGCTGTGAACTCGGGTGCTTGCAGGAACTCAGAGGCCGAAGCGAAGCATGGGTGTCTGGGAAGGCATTTTTCTTCCTGGTTCTTCTCCCCCCACATCTCAGCTTCTCTTGACATTGAGCCTACGGAGTAACAGCCTTTCAAATACGCCTGTCAACCACAGGGTTATTTTTCATTTTCCCTCCTACTTTCCTGTCTTGGCAGCATGGAGACATAGTTGGGTAAAGAACAACTTGCTTCTTGCAGATTTATTTCCCCCCACACACCTTTTTTTTCCCCTTTCAGTTCTTTCTTTTCCATCCCAGGAGTCAGTGGTTGGATGATGATCAGAAAAAAGTGAATCAGGGTCCCTTTTTAATCTCCCTTGATCTGCCTGGGATGGACTTCCTGGCCTCAGTTATCTGCCCGCAAAAGATGCTGGGTGATTTTCCAAGGTTTTGATTTGCTCGGTATTTCAGGGTTTGACGGAGAGGAGGTCCTGATAGCCTAGGTCTCCGTCAGGTCTTCTTTCAGTCAGGTCTGAGCAAACAGTCCTGTTGATAGAAGTTAATTCAGCCCATCATGACAATGTCAGTCATTTCTGTTCACCAGACACCTCTCTGAGGAAGCGTAATCAAGATCTTCCCCTCTATTTGTAGGGAAATCGTGAGCAACTGCAATCTGTGCAGAGAGTGGTGGTCATTTTAGGCCATTCATAACATCACCCTATCTCTCTTTGGCTCTACTTCCCATTCTCTGTCTTCTCTTTTATGAGTTGAGGAGTTTTAATGCCATCAGACTATCTCTACAGGTCTGTAACCAACTAAATTGCTTCCTATGAGATAACCTCTACTTCCCCAAATTTTGTTTAAGGTCCTGGTTTCTAAACTGAAAACACTATCAGAACTGAAATTTTAGCCAAAATGAAATGTTACCAAAGATATCCCTTAGTTAGATACTCCTTAGATATTCCTCTCTGCCATATTTTTATGCATAGCTATTTTAATGACATTGAGAAAGCTGGGATGTACAAATTCCTTAAATTCTGCTTATTTTGGAAATCAGAAGATGGATAAGATATATTCTAATAAGATATATTCTAACAAGGTATATTCTAATACCAAGAGATAGAGGTACTGAGGGGGAAGTCAGTTACATAGAAATATATGACATTATGTGGTGGCACCAACAATTATGGAAATAGGAACTAAGTGCATTAGGAGTTCCTGGAGAAAATGAAGATGTCTGCCATGGGAAACAGTGGACATATACTACCACAATTTTTTTCCAAATCTATTTCTCTTCCTGTTTTTTCTAAAATATTAAGTTTAATTAATTTCTTTTTTTGTTTTTTTTTTTGGAATCACACCCAACAGTGCTCAAGGATTACTCCTGGCTATGCCTTCAGGAATGACTCCTGGTGGGGCTTAGAGAACCGTATGGGGTGCCGGGTATGGAACCCAAGTTGGCTATAAACACCCTGTGGCCCCTAAATGATATATTTCTTTCTTTCTTTTTCTTTTGGGTCACACCCAGTGATGCACAAGTGTAACTCTTGGCTTTGCACTCAGGAATTATTCCTGGCAGTGCTCAGGGGACCATATGGGATGCTGGGAATCAAACCCGGGTTGGCCAAGTGCAAGGTGTGTTTCCATACCCGCTGTACTATCCCTCCAGCCCCCAAATGATATCTTTCTTAAAAATATTTAATTATTTAGTTTTTTTAAATTTTGGAGGCCAGACCTGGCAATACTTATGTGGTGAAAAGGATCAATCACTGGATGACCATGGGCAAAAGTAAAACGCCCTCTTGCTAGAATATTTATCTGACTCCAAGTTTCCTTGATTCCTAATCTTGGGTTCTCAGGAGAAGTGGCATTAGTCTTAAATATATGTACATCCACAAAGATAATGGAAAATTAAGTAAAAGAGAAAAATTGTTCAGTTTCACTGTTGTAATCTTTATTACATTGGTTATCAAGGCAATGTTCTGAATCGCATTAAAATTGGCATGCATTATTTCTTTCTTAAAGCAGGAGAAAGTGGCATGACCCTTGTCCTTGATATATCAAATCAAGTTCTAGATACTGAAACATAATCAGCAGATGACCTGCAGAGGGTGGTGACTACCATTCTTCTTGTATTTTGCATTATCAGTTGAGGAAAGCTGTTACGTTTTTGGAAAATGGGACCCATCATTTACAAACGAAGCATCAATGTTAGAGGAGAAAACTGAAATTTGTTACCAAGTACATTGAGGCGGGCAGGATAGATAGTACAGGGATTAAGGTGTATGCCTAGTCTGTGGCCAGCTGGTTTCCATCGGCATCACATGGTTTCTGGAGCATCACTGTGTGCAGACATGGAGGTACTGAGCATCTCTGGATGTGGCCCCAGTGGACCTCAAGTAAAACTGGGGTGGGAGGTAATCTCCAGCAACATAGCGCCTACGCAGCACCATACCCTTGGACCCTTGCACTGAACTGCTGGCTAGGTTAGCTGAGAATGGCTTGAAGGAACCCTGAGCCCCAGATGAGTGGAGGAGGCTAGGCTGGCTGTAAATGTGAGGGATTTTTTTTTTTTCGTTTCCACTAGAGGTTCATCATTTCTGAAGGCCTGATGAGTTAGTGGGATCACACGGTCTTGGTCTTTTGTATGGTGGCAGAATATAGGCTTGTTGCAGATGCCATCTGGCCTGTGCAGCAGAATCCTCTTAGAAAAGAGAGAATTGGTTTTGTTTCACAAAGCAATTTCTTTCTAAGCAAAAGTTAAATGCTAATTGGAGGATGCTCTCCACCACAGTGATTGGATGCAGTTTGGGGCATCCAGACTTCTATATATAGCAGATCTAGTTCAACTTCCTACCACACCACAGCTGAATTCTTGCTCCCTGGGAGCTGGACTTACTGGTATTTACAGTCTCATGTGGAGACTCAGAATTGCCACCTTCTTTGTTTTATCGGGGTGACACAGACTCCATTTTAATCCTGCTTGTATGTGTGGTGCTTGAGTATCTTGTGCCTTATATGCCAATGCACATACTGTTCTCTTTCTAAAAATGGGTTTAAGCAGTTTAGACTACATGCCCATTAAATGCCTGTATATGCTTTGAAAGCAAATTTCACTACCAGCTGATTTGTCATGTTTCTGCAAAAACAATTTATATGTAAATATGCCTGCCTTCTATAAGCACCAGCTGCTCTCTGCTGGCCTCTGATTGGCATTAAATTTGATGGACAGTGATCTATATAACCCCTTCTTTCTCAAATAGCTTTTCAGATACTATAAAGTTACCATAATTCATGAACTTTGGTGCTTCATTTAAAAGTTTCTGTTTTCCTTCATTAGAATAATGTTTATTCGGTTTAGAAAATTAAAGACTCAAGAAAAGTGACTTAAAAGCCCCGTTCATAATGTTACAATTCCAAGGCAACCAAATACTTTTTATTTTGTCTTTCTTTTTAATGCGGTGTTTTAAACATAAAATATCATCGTGCTTGTTCTGTTTATGCTACTTTACATTAATTCAGCTTTTACCTAACATGGTTTGTTCAGCCTAAATGTAATATGAAATCCACATAAAATAATGTCTTTATTTAAATAAATGACACCATTCTTTAGGAAGTCGATATATTTTGACTGAGTAGTAAGTACTTTGATCTACAGATATTAGATAGACGTCAACATATTCATATGAAAAATTGTAAACATAAACATATTTTAAGTAGCATATTCCCTGGGCTAGGACTGCAGTAGAGTAGATTTCAGAATTATTTAATAGCAAATATTTGTCACTTAGTAATAAAACAAGAATTTTAAATTAATATTAGTAAGTTGAAATGGTAAAACTTTGGAAATTAAACATTTACCTTCCTTGGGTGACATTTCTTTCCTTCCACTTATAATTTTTATAACAATAATTATGTGAGTTGGCTGTGTTTTAGAATATTGAATAGAAATTGGGTTTTTACTGTTTAATTTATGCCTGAGCATAAAGAGATGCATCTTATTTTTGTATTCAAGGGAAAATGTTGGTTTGATTTGAACACTGTTAATGAAAATCACAAGTTGCAACTCTGTAGATTAAGATAACCTGATCCCTTTCTGAAACTTCTAGTCTTTCAAGACTACAGCGTTAATCTTAGTTGTTCTTATTCATTTGAGCTCCTGGTCATGGATTGGAAATCACTGGGGGGGATAAATGCATAATGCTGATGAAAACTGGAAAGAAAAAGCACTTGTATGAGCAGCTGTTGTGGACTCGACTCCATAGGAATTTGGGGCAGGGACAAATAAAATAAGTAGTTGACAAAGAGATCTACTAAAATTTTCATTCCAGCTCAGGAACCCATTGTCTTCTCAATTTAGCACTGCAAACTACAGATGTTTATCTTATGTGTGCCCCTGCAACATTCCTCCTACAGGGTGAAGAATTAATTCACTTCGGTGGAAAATGCTGTCCCGAATGCATTGCCAAGAATGGTTATTGTCGATATGAAGAAAATGTAGAATTTGTGAGTATCAGGCTAATAACCCAAGTCTACTAAAATCAATAATTCAAAATGAATTGAATGAGGGGCTCTTACCCTCTCATTTCCTTTACTCATTCAGTTGCTCAATAAATGTGATTGAGAGCCTACTCTGCTAGGATGGGGGCCATGGGAAGTAGACAGAGCCAGTAGAATCCCTGCCCTTGCAGACATTATTGTTCTAGTGTGGGGACACAGGCCACAGACACGTGTCAGGTGTTGGCGAGAACTCTCTAGGGAAGAAGGCAGCTTCAGCCACTGGTGAACACCTGGGGGAGGAAGGTGTTCTTTTACAAAAGATGACAAAGAATGTCCTCTTGAGTGGGACAAAATGAGCCAGACACAAGGGTATGTAGGTGAGGGGCTGGGGGATCATACTAGGAGTGGTGATGAGCTCATGGGAAGGCAATAAGGCAGAAGAATGCTCGGTGTATCCAAGGAACAAAAAGGAAGAAAATGTGCTTGGAGCCAAGTAACTTGGGACAGGGCATTAGTGAGGAGAGTTGAGAGCCTTCTCTGCTCTGGATATGGAATAGTCCGGTCACACAAGTAGCCGTTAGACAACGCAGCAGTAGGTACCCTGGGCTTGATAAAGGTGTGTTTTCCCCTGTGTGAATGAGACTGCCAAGGAGTAGAGTTATATAGCGATAAGGCTCTAGATAGGTCTTCAGCCTCTGGCCCATTGGTGTGTAGAAGGGTTAAAAACCACTGACCCTACATTTTGGTTAGAATTGTTGGTTGTGGGCTAGAATATTGGACAGGTCCTGGCCTGTAAGTTGGAGTATTGCTCTAGATTTATTTTTATAGATTAAAAGGATTTATTTTATAGACTAAAAGGATTTTGATGATTTGATATAAAGAGCAATGCCATTTGTGAAGATTTTTTTTATTTGTCTATGTTTTTAAAAATACATACCTAAACAAAAAAATATGTATCGTAATCTCATCAATTTTTCTCTATTTATTGTAGCTTATATCTTTTTTTCCATGTTGGGTTTCAGAATATTGATAAGTTATTTGCATTCTTAAAAATATGCCAGTTGATCACAAAGACCACTGCTTCCTTGACAATCAAAGTTGGGATGATGCATTTTTGGCTTTGAACTGTATCTCTCTTCTTTGGGATTTGGGAAAATTGCATCTGTCTACCTACTAGTTTTCTGTACATGCTGGAAGCAGTCATTTGTAGTGCTAACTGTATAAGCTCTGGTTCAAAACACTAATTCATCATATATTAAGAATGACTTAGGGCACATTCCTTCATGTTCAAAGCAACATTGGATCAAGAGTAGAACTTACCTCAGAAGAATATGGAGAAACTAGAAGTGCCTGACCCAATTTTTTTAAGCTTCAAATGACATTGTTACTGTTGGCATTCTTTATTTCACATGGGTTATTCATAGTTTAGTTATCTTTGTTTCCTAAGATGATAATTTAGGTTGTTAAAGGTTCCCCTACAAATGTGGAATTTATATCTTCTGAACCATAGTATCCATTTTCCTGTCCAGTTTTGAAGACAAAGTAAGACCAGTAGAATTTTAGTAAAATAAGTAATTTAAAATAAGTTTAATCTCTGCAGTTTTCCTGATATCATACTGAACTCAGTAGAAGTCTTAAGAGTTAAGCTTATTTGACTGTGAAGTCTCAAATTGAGGGCAGTTGAAACCAATGTTCAAGCCCAAAGTGAGACCAGAAATTCCAAAGTAGACCAGAAAGGAGCTTGGGACGGTGGAAGGTTGTTGGCATTTAGGTGCAGGGTGTGTTGGAATAACTATATGCAACAAAAGCATTAATAAATATGAACAGTATTTATTAAATTATTATTAAATCATGTGACCTCAAAATAATAAATTAAAATTTTCAAAGAATTTAGATATATTTCCTAGGAATGTTCACTTCAACTTATATTCATATGTCTTTCTTGGTTTTTATATACATTTTTTCTTCTTTTCATAACAAAGTTTCACATTACTTGGAGAAAATAGATAACATGCAAATAATTGATTAGCCTACTTGTGTTTTTAGTAGTTTAATAAATGTATTTATTTTTATTCCTAGATGTCTTCAAATGTGAGTGAAGTTAAACATATTCCAGTAAGTTTAGATTTTTAACTTGTGCGTAGACATTTGTAAAATTGTTTTTTTTTTGTTTTAAACAATGATCTGCATATATTGTTTCGTCAAACTTCAGTGACTTAGTTTTTTAACGATTATTTGAAATAATTTTTGAAGTAATATTGACATGTCATATGCAGGGTTCAGTTATAGCCTTATAAGTCAATAATAGAAAATAATCAACAAAATATATGTATCATTTGCCCACCATGGTGTACTCGACCATTTTACCTAATTGAACGTCTTGGTCTGAGATTAAAATCATCATTAAAACTGATCCATTGACCTTGTTCATTGTTTAACTGAGACCCAAGCACAAAAATTTGTAAGTCTACAACTGTACCTCATGGTATTTCCCTAATAAAAATAAATAAATAAAATAAAAATAAATAAAGTTCTGTTAAGGACTAGAAAAAAAAACTGATCCATTGAGCTCTTGCTTTCTTTATCTTATTTTTCCCATGACTATGATAATCCAATGATAATCTTGTACAAAGATTCTTTCCAATGATAATCTTGTACAGAGATTCTTCCTGTCTCATATGCTGATTTTCTCCTGATTTATTTCTGACTTACAAAACTCAGCTTAGCAGTGCCATTCTGTGTCTCCGATGTGATGAAGTAAAGATTTAGCTTTGAAGAAGTACTCATTCTCCAAGCAAAATTGTGTTCTTTCTAGACTGTTCTCTGAACAACAGTAAATGATCCTTTTGGGAGGAGGCAGGGCTTGGGCCGCACCTGGCTGTGCTCAGGGCTTCCTCCTGGCTCTGCACTCAGGGATCACTCCTGGTGGGGCTCAAGGGACCATCTGTGGTGCCTGGGATCAAATCCAGCTTAGCCGTATGCAAGGCCAGCGCCTTACTCACTCTCTGATTCCTGGCTCTGTATGGTTTCGTTTTACGGGTAAATGCAGGCATGCTTTTTACATGCTTTTTACACAATCAAGATTACATTTTGGAAGTTAGAGATTTAGAGAGTCAGATGAGTCTTTCTTAAATGATAGCAAAGCATTTCTTCCTTCTCGGGATAATATTCCTTGTCTCTCTAACATTGTCATTCATAGTTACTAGAAACCGTCACATAAACTGGGAATGTTCACTATTAAAAGCATTTTTACCAAATTCTTATGTTAAATACCTCTTCTAATTAACCACCTATATTGTCCTCAAACATTTTGGAGCCCTTGTCTCTTTCCTATCCACCGGAAGAATGTTCTTTATAATTCACTTGGGAAGCTCTGTCAAATGGCAAGTGTTTGTTGCCTTACTTTACTTGGCTAAAAAGAACATTTCAGTTTGAGAAAACTTGAGGCACACGCACAACCTACCAACAGTGGACATGCCTAAGTCTGCATTAATTTTTTTTACTTTAACAATTAAGTCTCACAATGGAGGAGTTACTGGGCCCGCTCGAGCAAATCGATGAACAACGGGAGAACCGTGACCTTGACTTTTATGAAGACGCTGTGATTTACAAAGTTGTTCATAATAGAGTTGTCAGGCATACAATGTTCCAACACCAATCCCACCACCAGTGACCCCTTCCCTTCACCAATGAGTTTTCATTTTAAGAATACAGTGACTCTATACTTGCTCTTAATGGAATAGTAAGGAAATTTAGGATTTTAATTAACTTCCCACTGTTATTATAAAAATTGTAGTTAATGTACCTGATAAGTGCTAGCTAGGTACATTAGTAATCCCCTCTGGTGATTTTTTTTGTGGGGGGGAGGGGAGTAGAAGAGGAAGGGGCTGTGTGAGATAGGCTGAGAATCCAAACGATATATCCTTCTTGCCCTTTCTAATAGCTCCAGAATGTTCTTGCAGCTGATCTTTCTGTGTTTCAGATTAAAACACACCAGTTAGGGTCAGAGAGACAGGAGAGTTGGTAAAATGTTTGCCTTGTATGTGGCTGATTTGGTCTCCAGCATCAAATATGGTCCCTGGAGCACTGCAGGAGTGATCCCTAAGCACTGAGCTAGGAGTAAGCCCTGGGCACAACTGGGTGTGGCCCAGCACCAGTACCCGGGCACCCCCACCCAACTCCCCTGCAATTTAAACAAGTGTAAACAAAGAAAAATAAATGTTCTCTTTTTCTGAGGAGTCTGCTATTACTATCCTGTTTCTGAGTCAGGTGCAGAGCCCGTGAGATCATAGAGTGTTTAGGGTTCTTGCCTCAGTTGGATTCCTGAGCATGACTGGAGACCCCCAGGTCTGCCAGCGTGGCCCAGATATCCCTGGCACCTTGCCTTGGCCATTCACCTGCTGGCCCTGTAGGCAGAGAATGACTAGTGGGACCCGCGGAACTACAGAGCATCCCCTGGGAGCTTCCAGCCTAAATTAGAAAGTTGCAGCAGAACCTGGATGTTGCACTTTTGATTTATTTTATTTTATTTATTTATTTTTGAAATGCCCAGAAGTCACTTGTATTTGTCAGTAGAGATGAGAGCTAAGAGAATTTTCCTTGAGGAACCAGTTTCTAGCTTCCCAAAGACTGAGGGGCAGAAAGGGAGTGGGGGCGAAGACTTCTTGGGAGTGGCTCTCCCTCATCTGCCTTTTGGGTGAGGGCTGGCCATCAAGTCCCTGCCTCGGGAGGCCAAAGGCTGGAGGTGGGGAGGAGTCATCAGTGAGGAGGGTGGATTTCGGCCCAGGCTCTGGAGCAGTTTCGTCTCTATCTCAGGCCCAGCCACAGCGATGTCCTGATGGTGCCTAAGCCCAGGGCCTCTGTCATCTCCTTTACTATAATATCCCCTGCTCCTCCCCCCCGCCCCACACACACTCCCCAGCAAGCTACCTTCTAAATCACTGCACACTGGTAACGCCATTCGTTCCTGTTCCCTGTAGGAGGGCGAGAAGTGGGAGGACGGCCCTTGCAAGGTGTGTGAGTGCCGGGGTGCTCAGGTGACATGCTACGAGCCCTCTTGTCCCCCATGTCCTGTCTCCACACTAGCCCGAGTGGTGAAGGGACGCTGTTGTCCAGACTGTACATCAGGTGGGTCCATGTTTGATTGTTTTCATCTGTGGTACGCTTTACAGCACTCCTCTTATCCCCTGCCCCCCAATTCTGTGAGCTTCTTCACCCACCGCCTAAGTTTAATTCATTCTGATTTGTCTAACAAGTGATGCTAGACTCAACTGATGATGACCTTGGGCGAATCATTGACTTAATATCCTTATTGATAAATCCTGCATTGTCTGCCTTACGGCATTATTATAAAAGTCATGTAGCAATGTTAACAAAAATATGTAAAGGCAACTAGATGCGTTAGGTATATTTCATTATTGAAGGTAGAAGAAGAGTTGCAGAAAGTTTGTTATGGCTGTCGATTTCTTTTTATAAAGGTGAGCTATTAAACAGATGTTCCTTTTGGAGTACTTAAGTGGGTTTTTGAAGTTTAAAGACTCATTAATTTTTTCCAAAAGAAAATTTTATCTACTTGTTCTGCAACTCTGCTTTCAAATCACCTGGGGTTGAATTAGTTCCAGTTAATAATTGTTGGCAAGCACTGGAGTGCTCTGACTGAGCAGTAATTTGCCCATAAGCTAGTGTCTCTTGGAGAAGTGGCGTTTTCTTTCATTCATATTTCATAATTAATTGTTTTCATCTGTAAGTTACAATTTCTCACATTGCCAGTTCTCTTGTAGCACTCAAGTTATTTGGGCTAATCATAGTGTTTCCGTACAGAAAAGCAGGTTTCGGGTTGCATGTCACTACCTCCATCAAAATAGCCCCCTAGACTCTCCAAAACAAATATTTAGCGTAGAATAATGTTCTGCATTTTCAAAATCAGGTCCTTGACCACTTAAAAATTCGAAAGAAGCCCTTTGCTGACTATTATGACTAAGTTCAGTGATAATTCCAATTACGTGGGAATGGAAATGAGACATTTCGAAGAAAAGAAAACTGGCAATAATTTTCTAAAGAAAGTAATGTTATTTACAATAGTAGGTGTGATGTCCTGACTTTTTCTATGCATCAGAACTTAGGAATGCCAAAACTCTAACTTACTCGTTATGTTTCTGTAGTTCTCTGGGGAACCAACTATTCTTGTTCTAGTAGACTGAAGCTTTAGTCAGGATCTTCAGTAATGTTTTTAATTTTGGTGCTTTTGAGAACAATTTTTCAGATAAAGAGGAATTCCTTGAAGTCTTTCTTTTTTGGTATTTTGGGGGGCCTTTTCCTATCTAAATTGCAGTTTTCCATTCTCATAGTCTACTTAGCTCCTTATAATCTAGTGATTCTTTTTCTTAAGCTTGTCAAAGAAGCCTGGTCTTGACTGAGTTCTCTCCTTTGTGTGCGATTCCAGTTCGTTGTCACCCAGACTGCCTGACCTGCTCCCAGTCTCCAGACCACTGTGACCTCTGCCAGGACCCCACAAAGCTGCTGCTCAGTGGACGCTGTGTGCACAGCTGTGGCCTGGGATTTTACCAGGCTGGTGCTCTCTGTCTAGGTACGGCTTTAGGCAGACCGGCCAGAGGTGGGCTGGCGGTCACTGTTGCCAAGGAAGGGGTCATGCATGCATGAAGTGAGGAAGCACAGACATCCTCTGTAGGTGACTTGGCTCGGACCTGCAGGCCCCTTTTCTTCTTGCATTTTTGCAGATATTTCAGTGCTTACTAGAAGAAGACGGTGCAAAGATCAGAGGGTAACTAGGTAGTCCTAGCTGGGTAGGTCATTTTTGAAGACGTTCAAGGGTAGTAATATCACCATAATGCTTGGTGTCATTAATGAAAACGCTGAATTACCCCAAGATAGGATTTGAAAATGATAGGGACCTTCAAGATTACTTAGTAGAATTTTGTAAGTGGGGAAAGGTTGGGCCAGAGAAATCAACTCTTTGAATTGATTGTGGAGCCGATTGCTGTGGGTTACTTATGAGAGGATCCACAAGGGGCTCTTGTGTATTTCAGAGATTTTATACACCTGAAAAGAGAGCCGAACCCAGGAGAATTTGACATGATTGAGGTCAAATTAGTTACTTTTACAGAACTTTAGTGCTCCTGGTGCTGATTATTCATTTAAGCGTGTGTAGGCTCAGGGCTGGAAAGATGTCTCTAAAGGCTAAAGTACAGGCTTTGCCTGCGGGAGGTGTGGGTTCGAGCCAAGACTTCTCATGACCCCCAGGAGCTAAGCTGGTGATAACCTCCAAGTAAGGCTGGACAGTACCCAAAAATAAAAATTTAAAAAATAACTTAAAAAGTGTAAGTTCATACGTACTCGTGCAGAGTGAACCTCCCTGGGACTCACTCTCTTTATCTGTCGAGTTGAGTAGTCCCGCCCCCAGAGTCTTGTGAGGACTAAGAGCATCAACAAATGCAAAGTGTGTGTGACTCTAGCAGTGCCCCAAGAAAGATGATTGCTTGTGCTGCTTTTGCATTTACTTGCTGATCTCTGATTCTTCTTAAGCCATTCTTTATGAACATAAAGAATGGGTATGAATATAAATGAATATAAATATTATTTATATCTTTATCACAAGGAATCTTCTTGTAAAAATGGTAGAATGAGAAATCTCTGGGGGAAGATGGGAGGAGAGGGATGGAGCATGAACTCCGGAGCCCTGTGGCCTAATTTCCAATGCCACCTTCCAATGACTGTGGGCAGGTTGCTCATCAAGCTTCTGGGGGGCTTGTTTCTCATCTGCAAAATGAGGATTCAAAATGACATCAAAGGGCTCCCACAAACTGTCTTCCATAGAGGCAGGGGGAGGGTTGGGGTGGGGGTGGGGGATACTGGGGACATTGGTGGTGGAAAACGTACACTGCTGGAGGGATGGCTGTATCAATGTATGGCTGAAACTCAAACATGAAAGCTTTGTAACTGCATCTCACAGGAATTCGGTTAAAAGAAAAAAGAAAAAAAAAGGGGCTCCCTCAGTGATGCAGTGCAATCCTATAGGTAAAGCATGTCATATGGGATCTGTCGTGATCTACGTAGTTATTTTTCCGACTCTGTGAGCCTCGAGCCTCAGATTTGGCCTACCTCGCTAGGACTCAGCGCTGGGGTGATGTCTCTGTGCTCATCAAAGCTTTCCTTCTTCTCTCCAGCCTGCCAGCCTCAGTGCTCCACATGCAGCAACGCGCACGAGTGCTCCTCCTGCCAGCCCCCGCTGCTAATGCAGCACGGGCACTGTGTCCCTTCGTGCGGACCCGGCTTCTACCGGGATCATCACGCCTGTGCAGGTAAGTGCGAGCTGCGGTATTAGACCAGTGTCTTGACTTAAGCCTCAGCCCTCGAAGATAAAAAGAACCACGAGTGTTTATCACTTAGCACCTTCTAGTTACCTGTTAGTCAGGAACACGCGCCAGGTGGCACACACGTGCTGCTGGCAGTGCCAAATGGCTGGGCGGTGTAAGCAAACCGCTAACATTTCAACTGGGTGAAACCAACCTGTGTTTTCCTAACTCCTTTCTCCTGTTCCTGCTAGCTCTCTGCTAGCTCTCCTGTGGCAGATTTGCCTTAAAAGGAAAGAATTCACCTAGATTTTGGTCTTTCCTTCATACTGTCTCCACCAGTGCCACATACTCACTTGCACGTTTCTTATTTTCTTCCTTTCTCTTTCCGGGCCATTTTCTTCTCTTATAACCCCCGTTTTAATTGGTGATGTTAATGCTGTTTGAGGGCATTTTGAAATGGGCCATGTTTCATTTGATTACTGGTTTACATAGCTGGCTCTTTCTACATTCCAGCCACATACCCATACACAAATGCCTCTAGTCGAAAGTGGCTGGGAAAATTTGCTCATGCTTCCTCTAGGGAATAAAACCAATTTGCTTTAGTTCAGCCTGGTTGCATTTTTATGCATAAAATAAGAAGAAAGAAAGGAACAAGAGAACGAGAAGAGGGGAGAGGGGGATCTGGAAAATTAAAGCTTAACTTGAGATACAACTCCATGGTCTACCTCAATGCTGAGACCACCTAAGCAATCTTTCCAAATAACACTTCTTGTTATGGGGATTTTTCATGGTACCAGTGCTCAGCTGCCTGGTGGTGACTTCGCCATTGACCTTGGAAGGCAGCCAGCCAGCCAACCCAGGCGTTTTCAGTCCACGCTGAACTTTTCAAAGAGAAGCCTGCCATTTGAGGGCGACAACAGGTTTTGGGGGATTGATTCTTCTTGGCAGAGTCATTAATTTATGTTATGACTGGTGTAATTCACTACTTTATTGACTCATCAGAGCCAAAGGAAAGTGAACACTGGGCTGAGAAAACTAATGACCAGAAATTACCTGTTCAATATTCATATCCTCAAAGATGAATATAGGAAAGAGTGGAAAATATGGGGCGAAGCTGAGTGACTCGTAAGGCTCTGCAACAGGGTTAGGGGCAGTTAAAGCAGAGTGTGCAGAGAAGAGTGTTGTTGTTGGCATTTGTGGGCCACACACTAGCGTGCTCAGGGGCCACTTCTGGCGGTGCTCAGGGGGCCATATGCAGTCCCAGGAATCAAACCAGGGTCAGTCGCATGCCAGGCAAGTGCCTTGCCTACGGTACCCTCTTCGCTCTTCTTGGCCATTGGATTAAGCTTCTTGTTTGGTTCTTATAAGCTTGTCTGCTTAGATCCAAAAATTGCTTCCCCGGAGCCCTTATTTTCCCTTTGCCTTGAGCTTTGTGGTACACAGCTTCCTTTGTGTGCCTAGAGATATGGACGTAGCTGTTTACTGTTCATTCCAGAATTTTGTTGTTGTTGTTGTTGTTGTTGTTGTTGTTGTTTTTGTTTGTTTGGTGGCCACACCTGGCGATAATTAGAGCTTACTTATGGCTCTGTGATCAGGGATCACTCCTGGTGAGGCTCGGGATCGTATGGGGTGCTAAGGATCGAACCTGGGACAGCCACGTGTGCAAGGCAAGCACCTCACTCATGATACTATTGCTCCAGCCTGGAATCCAGTCATGTTTGATCAGAGTGAATAGTATCATCATGCTAGATCACCTTGTTCACCCATGTCAATTTCTGCTTTGTTCCCACTGCCCTTTGCAACTCTTGCTTTCCTAACTTTACCAGAGTCTCAGCATTATGCATTTTCACAGCACTCTAAAGAAAGGACAGGCTGTCCAGAAGTGCCGCTTCCCCATGCCATGGAAGGTTCGGGAGTGGCCATCCTCTTCATGCCCAACATTCAGGCCATGTAAACTTCTAGAGGTTTCCTATGCTATCGGCTGGGATCCAGTTCCACACTGTGTTGTTCCACTCTCCATCACTCTTCTTGGCCCATGGATTAGGCTCCTCCTTTGGTTCCTTGATCCGGTTGTGACTCGTTGCTAGGGATTACCTAATAGCTCAGCTCACAGTCACCCCAGCCCGGTGGTCATGTTCCATATTCTCTTTTGTGGGGTGCAGCTGGGGCTACCTCTGATAATGCTTGGGCTTGACTCATTGCTCAGGCAGGGTTACATGCAGTGGTGCTTGGGGAACGTGCAGTGCCCGGGATCTAATCTCAGGCTCCTGCATGCAAAGCATGTGCTCAGCCCATTGGGCTCCTTTATTGCCCCCTGATTGCTTATTCTTTTTTTAAAATTTTTATTAGTGAGACATCATGAGGTACAGTTGTAGACTTACAAATTTTTGTGCTTGGGTTTCAATTATACAGTGATCAAATACCCAATCCTCCACCAGTGCCCATTTCTCACCACCACGGGTCCCAGCATCCCTCCCATCCCTGGTGCCCCCATCCCATCCTGCCTCTGTGGCAGGGCATTCCCTTTTGTTCTCTCTCTCTCTTATTGGGTGTTGTGGTTTGCAAAAGAGGCAATGGGTGACAATCATGTTTGGTCTATAGTCTACTTTCAGCATGCTTCTCCCATCCTGGGAGGATCCTCCCAACACCTTTATTTGGTGTTCCTTTCTCTATCTGAGCTCCCTTTCCCCTAGCATGTGTGGTTGGCCTCCAAGCCATGGAATAAAATTCCTGGTACTATTCTTTAACTGCGCATTCATCACCTTACGGGTGAAGCTGGGGTAGTAATACTTCCCACATAGCACTGATGAGGATGCCTGCCACCTAGTAAGCCCTCATTTAGGAAATGTGGGTTTTTCTTTTTTATTCCTCACTGTTCCCTTGATCCCACTCCTCTCATCTCTCTACTTAGTTCAGGGTCCTAAAGACATAAAGACACATCATTTTTGCCTATAGTGAGCTTGCAGTTAAGGCATGGATAGTGAATCTTACTGTGATTTAGAAATACAAGCACCTGTGTAGTTTATTCTGCATTTGATTGCTGAGTGCTCTTACATTTTATTTTTTTTTTTTTGGATCTTAAAGTATCAAGCAGTTGCCTGTCCGAATGTCCTGGGTTTGTAAAAGGTGGGAGGGTTTTAAGTTTCAGCTCTGCTACTTAAGACTGTCTGGTTTTGAGCAGGTCATTTAACTGCTTTGGATCTTTATTCTCATGCTATTTACTTTACACCGTTATTTTGAAGGTTAGAAGAGATGTTTGAAAATGTAATTATATTACACGTGTGCAGAGTGTGTGGATAATGGTGGGCTGTATTTGGCTGGCATTATCAAACCTATTATGTATATTTTTTTCATGAATCGGATACTAGGTCAAATAGTTCGCATTAAGTTCAGGAGTTGAGTGCTCTTAGTATCTGATTTAAAAATAAAATCTACTTCTGTGTATTGTGGCAAAGTAAATACGGAAAACAGATCGCTGTATTTAATCACAGCAAGTTAATGTCTTTTAACTCTCTCCATAAGCTCAGATTAAATAATGAAAATCTGTCATTGTTTGTTTCTTAGTCAATATGGTGGTATGTTTGGAGGAAAATCTTCTGGTAGGAAACTTGGAAGACTGTACATCTGGGCTGCTGATCTCGTTGAGATTTAAGCTCTGTGCTTTAATCAGAGGGACTTCTGTGTGACTTATTTGGTGGGATTATGTTTGAGGAGAGCGGCTCAACCATTTATGGAAATGAAGGACTGACCCCTGGAGCTCGGTCCACGCAGCGAAGACTTAATGGGTCTTGGCAGAATGTTCCAGCATGTGGCTTAGACAGGGCAGGCCTCTTGGCAAGGCGTTTATGCAACTGCTGTTCTGAAATCCTCATGGAAACAGAAGCCTGCCTTGTTCCGTTGAGATAGTCATTGTCAAGCCTGAGGACTCCCTGGCTTGTCCAACTCTCCCCCAACTGGCAGTGCCCCCCCACCCCAATATCATTACCAGGCCTCCTGTTTAGTTTGGGGGCCCAGTACATGCCTGGCACGCTGTTTTCATGACTTTTTTCTGTTTCCTAAATCCTGTGTATTTTTCAAGCCTTCCCTAGCATTTCGCTGCAAGTATGTCCTCATCCCCCATCCTGAATGGCTTTTAAAGAGGATTTGCTGTTTTGTTGTTACTGTTTTTTGCTTGTTTGTTTGTTTTTGAGCCACACCTGGTGGTACTCAGGGGTTGCCTGGGGCTTTGCACTGAGGACTCATTCCTGGCAGTGCTTGGGGGACCCTATGGGATGCCTGGGATTGAACCAGGTCAGCTTCATGCAAGGCAAAGGCCCTACCTACTGTACAAGCTCTCTGGGCCTTGGGGACTTACTGTCTTAAGTGGAATTTCCATCTCCTGATTCTCTTGCAAGATAAATATTTGTTGGACTTTTCTCTTACACTAGACCTGGCAGGAATACCATGAATATGGCAGAGAGTTAAGAAATTTACTTGCTTGGGCTGGAGAGAGAGTATAGAGAACAGCGGGTAGGCATTTGCCATGCATTTGGCCAAGCTGGGTTCAGTCCCTGGCACTACAGATGACCCTGTAGCCCTGCCAGGACTAAGGCCCGAGTACAGGCGGGTGTGGCCCAAGATCAGAAAAGAAAAGAAACTGGTGGAGGGAAGGTGATAGAAGTGGTGGGATTCATATTACCATATTGAATGCCTGTAACAAATAATCATGAACGTCTTTGTAAATCATGCTTTCTAAATAAAATGGGGGGATTTTTTATATTTAGGACACAATGAATTAACCATAATAGAAAGTTTGCTTTCTATTTTCATAATAGAAGTTTGCTGAAAAAAAAGAAAAGAAACTTACATTCTTAAGGGGTGGTGTTGGTAAATCAGAAAGCAAATAAGGTGATTGCAGATATTGTTGTATAAGTCTATTGCTGTCAGTGCTGTGATGGCAGTTTGAAAAGGTGGATTCAGGGCTGGAGTGATAGTACAGCGGGAGGGCGTTTGCCTTGCATGCAGCT